AAGCAGCGGGCATTTACAAGACGCTACCCCAAAAGCCTGCCAGGTGCTGAGGGGGTATGGCGGGGGTGTTGAGGGGGTACGGCGGGCCCCTCTTGCAAATCGTCCTGCACCCGTGAAACTGTTGGCCAGATGAGATTAAACTCAGAGTGAGATACATTTGCAATTGATTACCGTTGAGCCACTGTGACGAATGTAAGGCTTTTGGGTGTGTGTGTGTGTGTGTGTGTGTGTGTGTGTGTGTGTGTGTGTGTGTGTGTGTGTGTGTGTGTGTGTGTGTGTGTGTGTGTGTGTGTGTGTGTGTGTGTGTGTGTGTGTGTGTGTGTGTGTGTGTGTGTGTGTGTGTGTGTGTGTGTGTGTGTGTGTGTGTGTGTGTGTGTGTGTGTGTGTGTGTGTGTGTGTGTGTGTGTGTTTACTGCTTAAGGCCTGCACACACTGCTAGACCTGAAAAGGAGTAAAACAGGTCCCAATAGAACTGTTGGAAAACAATATATTTGAAATGCAAAAGACCCTGAAGAGTTTGAATAACTTCACTGCCACCCATGTCCATTCTCTGAGACATAGGGTACCTCACTGATTTGTTTCTGTTTCCAAACAGAGACAAGATGGAAATCTAAAAATGTAAAAAGCATCTGGTAATATCTATTTTGCAACTCAACCTCCAAAGAAAATGCCATAACTGGCCATAACTGCAGGCAACAGAGGTATGGCATGTCTTCACCTTTTAATTATGGGGTCTGTTTAGGAAATACATTTACATTGCCTTATTTCTAAGACTTTATTCGAATAACCCCTAACTGCCTGTTTCAAACCAGCTGAATCGGACTACTCTGCTTCCTCTGCACCCCTCTGGTTTGTCTGGTATTAATGAGCAATTAACTTTGCATACAAGGTCATGAACAATAGTACTGGTTGTCAGATTATGCTAATGCTGGTGGCTGTGGCCCTGGTGAAAGGAGGCAGAGGATCCTGGTGAATGGAGAGGGTTGTGGCCTTTCTCTTAGATGGGAGAATGATATGCAAACTGTACCAACATGTCCTTAAGAGGATTAGAACACCACTTGAGATGCAGGCAGCACAGTGCTGATATAAGAGCGCCAAAATAGGGGGGAAAGGTTTGAGTTACACACATTGTCCCGTTACTAGGCAATATGGTGATAGCAGAACAGTAAAATCCACATATTAAAATGTACATAGATTTGAGGGCACAAATATAGCCTACCTATTCAAAGGTATGCTTATAAACTGATAATACAGATGACATCGTAGCATAACTATTTATTAATGAATTAGGCAGCGCAATGCATAGGCTAAACAACTGACATGCAACATATTTGCCAACGAATACGAAATTAAACATTAAGTAATCAAAATACACTTCAAGACTACAATGTTGTAAGATCATTTCTGACAACATGAGGTAAATAACCGCCTAGGATGAAAATAATACGTTTTCTCCCATCTACCTCTGCGCGCACGGACTGGCTGCTAGCAGTCAAAGAACAGGTGCATGGAATCTCTGAACAGAGCGCATTGTCCGAGGAGATATGGCTTTACTCCATTTGGGGAGGAGGGGCTTATGTTTAATACAAAGTTAATATCGATTTAATGCTTGTCACTGCTCCTCTGAATCTTGTGGCATTGCTAATTCCCTGGATGTTCTGTTTTTAAAAAAAACAGCAACAGATGCCGCATGAAGGTTACCTTAGCCCTAACCGGAGAGCCTGTCTACAGCCACATTGTAGATTCTCTGAGGTAAAGTTAGGCTACATTAAAGGACATTGATGAGTCAATTGAAATGTACAGCCGTTCGATACGCAATGAAAGTCAACAAACCGAAATGTTTGGGCTGTTTTCAGAACTGGTTTAAGAAAGGGTAGCATGTTATGTCTATGGGGCTGGTGTGTTGATAATCACTTATTTATCTGCAGTTATGTATAGAGTAGACAGGGTACTTTTTTGTAGAAGACGGATATAATTTTGGATCATTGTCATACCCATCTTCAAAGAGTGAAATAAATGTTCCCCTAGGACGAATTTATAGGCCTATAATGCAATCATGAAAAGAGAATTCCCTCACTTTGAAAATAAACCGTACACCTACTCGCCCGACACTAAAGACGGTTAGATAGATGACTGGTGTCATACAGGAAAATGCGCACCAGTCAGAGCAATCTGTCCATCCGCGCGCTGAAAACATGGGCAGTTGCTTTTCCTTGACGTCACCAACAAATAATGGTAGAATAATAAACAGCTAACCACCTGTCGGACCCTGGACACAATGTAACGGGCCATACAGAAGCCTTCATGCATGGGTAACATATTTACTCAACCCATTCACTTAATGAAGCAGAAAGTGACGCAAGACAATGGTTAAGTTAATCTATTTAGTAAATTGTTTTGAGATGTGGAGGCAGCATTAAGGACCTGAGGTCCTGGTCTTTCCATAGACCCCTTTCCGTTTCAATGCAGAAGCAGTCTGTCTTGTGTCAATTCGATGGTGGGACAGAGCGGGGGGAGGGGTGGAGGGTCCTGTAATATTTTAGAGATGTGCTTTTAATGGCTTTAATTCAGCTGGAGCCAGCTGTTTTTGCTCTGTTTGGTAAAAGAGACCAAGACGTGGCAAGCTTGCAAAGCTAGTAGAAATTAGTCTCGGTGATCGAGGCTTCCTGCAAACCATCTGCTTGCAGTCACAAAGGGAGGATTTTCGGAACTAAAGAAATATAGGCTCATAAAAAAAAAGCTTTGAAGGTCTAGTTACTTTCGCCGTGAATGGTGACGGTGTTACCGCAGGTTTTCTTTTTTTTTTGGGGGGGGGGGGGGGGGGTCCGGCGCAGACCTTTCTTTTGGGCCAAGCAGAAAGGCTAACGCACGTCTGATAAGCGTTCACATTCTCTCACAAGGGAAACATTTCACCGAGGCGTTCCGTTTTAATTAACGGATTGTGACCACTTTACATTCGATTAATGTTGAACCACTTAGGCTATCATTACTCGAATAACATGTATATCAAACATAGGCTAATATATATTGGCTGTAATGTCGATTAAACTTAGTCTACAATAAAAATCACGTGCTTAAAATAGTGCATTAAATTATGAAGCAAGAAAGTATAAACTTTATTTTTTATCTTTATTTAACTAGGCAAGTCAGTTAAGAACAAATTCTTATTTACAATGACGGCCTACACCGGCCAAACCCGGACGACGCTGGGCCAATTGTGCGCCGCTCTATGGAACTCCCAATCATGGCCTGTTGTGATACAGCCTGGAATCGAACCAGGGGGTCTGTAGTGACGCCTCAAGCACTGAGATGCAGTGCCTTAGACCACTCGGGAGTATAAACTAACAGCTTAACATTCGTTTTTCGTTTGTTTTTTATGCATTCAAAAAATGTAGTTAACCTTGTTTTGACCTGAAAGCAAATTATAGCCTAACTTGATAAGAATATATTTATGCTAATATGAATTAAACATTTCTGGTAGGTTGAATGCATTCAGTTGTGCAACTGACTAGGTATCACATTTCCCTTCCCTAATATGTTATTTTATTTCGTTAGCCTATACTTTTGTTTTGCTTTTAATAAACAAGTACCTCTTACAAGCTTAGGTTTTTTGACAATTGGCTATGTTTTAGTTTTTTCCTAAACTATTCGTTTGTTTGACTATGCTTACTATTCTAGCTTATACACTATTTCGGCAAAAAATAAACCCAGTAGCATGAATTAATGTCTGTTTGGAAATGGATTTCGTTTAATGCTAATGCCTGGTTAAAGGCAGAGCAGACTAAACGCGACGGTAACAGGCTCAAATCCCGCTTTAATATGAGTTTTATACCAGCTTCAATGTCCGCTCATATTAATGCGTTTTAAATCAAATCACAGATGCACTTTTATTCAGCTGGTTAAAACAGCAGAACAAACCCCGTCTATAGAAATAAAGCTTTTATTCCAGTAGGGCTTTTTGAAGGCGATGGAGAGAAAGGGAGAGAGGGGCGCCATGGCAGCTGAGGGTGACAGTTAGTTCATGGTTAACAGGATCAGCAGTGCGCGGTTAGGGCCGCACACTTCTCCTCTGCGCTCAAATGTGCAGTGGGTCTGGGTCTGGCGCACTGAATGAAGACTTTGCAAAGCCCGTGATATTTAACACATCTGTTAAAGCGTTCCGAGAGCAGAAATCCGTTTAAGACATTATTCCATGACGAGGTCCAGATTGAGTGTTGAGAATCCAATGAAACACGAAGCCAATTGACATTTTACGCAATCCACATATTCCTAAATTAATTCACATTTTGAAGTAGGCTAGTTATAAAGGATGCTTAATGAAACCATGGCGATTAGACTTTAAACGAATATATCTTTGTTATCATGATTGTGAGAATGATTGTCAATATTCATAGCCTATATTATTGATGCATTAATGCTATATTCATGCAATATGTATTCATTACCATTGTTGTTGTAATACGAATTAATTGTTGTTGTTGTTGTCGTTATGATCGAGTTATTATAGCCTAAGCAATGTGGTATAAACTCAACTGCATTCAATTGTAATTTTTAGTGGGCTATAGCTTTCATTAGGACTTTTGATCTATTAAAACACAGCAGGGGAGCTGAATAAATGTAGCTGCTTCTTCTGGTTAAGCCCTCATTCAGAAGCCCCAAATTATGTTTGAATCTTTTAGGATAGCTTTTTAATTAGCCTGCGTGCATCTCCACCAAACAAAACCCAATCGCAGGGCCTCAATGGAACGTGGTCAATATGCAAAATTGATGACTATGCCTCTTTTGTGGAAGGGACATTGTGTGTTCCTTGCTTATGAAGTCTAATCCAATCATAAATTGCACTCTCTGGCCAATCAGCGCTCCCGGGACGGCGCTTGAAAGCGACCCATGTAGAGAACTTTGTTGAACCTCATTGTTGAGGCTGACAGTTCTGAAAGGAGCTTTGGGGCAGCCTGCTATAAAACGCCTCTCCCCAGAGTAGAGGGGCCAGAGGAGTAAAGCTGGTCATTCAGATTGGAACCTATCAGATCCTCACTTGTTCTTGACGGAGTATTTCAACAGATCGTTTCGTGTTGCGTTATACTACAGACGGGACTATGATGATCCCAAGCGTCCTTGCGCCTAATGCGATGTACCCAGGCCTTTACCGCCCCTCCGCAGCCTTGCCGCTCCACCAGTCCCTTCAGAACGCGTTTCCAACCCACTCCAGCTTCCTAGTGGAGGACCTGCTGCGGATAAGCAGGCCGGCGGGGTACCACCTCAGCCGGACGCTCCCCTCAGCAAGCGTCTCCCCGGCGACAACCACCACCACCATGTCCTTCAGTGCCATGCCACAGGAGCGCATCATCTCTCCAACTGCCTTGACGCGTGAATCATGCTCGCCGAAAACGTCACAACCGAGCAGTAAAGACCCAACTTATCTTAAGTTTGGAGTCAGCGCAATCCTTGCACCATCACCAAAGACCGGTAAGTGTGATGTTGGGAAAGTTTTACCTTCTTTCTAATTGGTAATTTTAGCAGTTTCTTACACTTAGCATATTGTAAAACAGATAAAACATGGTTTGTCTCTTCATGAGTGTTGCCTTGATTGTTGGCGTTCCTTGACACATGGTATTTTCCTCTACAGCATCGTTGCCACCCGCCATCCACCACAGTATGCACCCCAAGGCTTTCTCTCTCCCCTACTTCGACGGATCCTTCCACCCCGCCTTCTTCAGGACTACATATTTCCCAGGTAAAGAACTAATCATGCACTTTCAGACACCGTTGAATTGCACTTTGTGCACAGTTGATACTCACCCCTCGCCTGGGACAACGTTCAGAACTTTTCATTTCAAAATGTTTTATAGAACGACTTTCCATATGGACTCGAAATAATGCTTTGAGTGCTTTCTGCAAAGCTCTGAAAGTTGCACCTTTTTGCAAATGCCCTGTATAGGCACGCATATCATTGCAAAACTTAGCTTGTGAACTTTTCAGTGCTTTCAGAGTGGGTTTGGTGTGGTGTGGGTGGGTGGGATTGATTCAATTTGCACTGACATCTCTGCTGCTGAGCTCTTTGGTCGCTAACATAGCCCTCTGTTCCCCAACTGCTAATTAACCAATTATCCGGAATCATCACTGTTTAATTTCGAGGCGGGCTGCGGGTCGGTCTCGTCCCCCCACGGTCTCCTGCATTAAGGCCATTTTGCAGTCTCCTCCGCACAGTCCCGCGTTTTCCCACAGGGCAGGGGCACTGGGCCACTTGCTGCCAACAATGCTTTCAGCACCATGACCGATTTGGTCAGCTCCCCCCGGCGCAAGCCACCCACGCACCCCAGAGTGACTTCTACCAGGCGGGCAAGAGGCGTGGACCAGTCATGCACTAATTTCCCTATTAGGCGCCATTCACAGCTCTCAATATTCTCACAAGACCACATAGCTCGTTGTTGTGCCTGATTATGAGTTGTGGATATGGAGGTAGTCTTAGCCCAAGTTATTTGGCAATGATTGATATGCTTATAGATAGGCATACATTTGCAAGTGTGCTATAATTCAGTGGTTTGGAAATAATTATTCTTTGCATGAACAATAATCAAATCAGTGCACATTAAACATTTTCAGTGTTTTACTATATCCATGACCTGAAAAACACACCATGCCTTAAACGTCCCCCTTCCTCTCTCAGTTTTTAAACCCTGGGGCCAATCAACAGGGCAGGATAAAGAATAATCTCTTAGAAAAGTCTATAAAGTCGCTAGTCCGTGCTTTCATTCAGACAAACCATAATGGAGTTGGAGTCTTTTCATGGGCTGCGCTGAATACCTTCACAAAACAGCTCGAGCGCCCTGAATAGCTTTTCGTGTTCATTTAATGAAAATGATTTGAGGGCAGAAAAAATGCACCCTGGGCCCCTCCGCATCAGTATTCAGGTATGCAGTGGTGTTTAGTTTGAAAGTGTAAATCTCCTTTTGTTGCGATAATATATGGCCTTCGCAGCCTGTCCAGAGTCTTTTCTGCGTTAGTTCATTACTACACAATTACCGTTCACGGTTTATTAACTCCTCTATCCGCCCTCGCGGGGTTCCTTAAAGGATATGCTGCCTCTTTACCATACCAATGCGGCTGGGGACCGACCAATGTGCTAATTAGTCACCTCGTGCCATTTCACTCAAAAAGGAGACTTATTCCGCGGCCAAATGGGGGAAGCATATTCAATCATAACAGATTGCAAAGTTTGTACAGAAGTGTAAAAAAGTAGGCTAGTTGGCTAAAGAAATAGCCTTCCAGGGGACCGACGTTTTAACGTCTATTTTAAGCCTATTGCTATGTTTTGACCTGATTTTATGAATTAACGTTTCCCCCTCTCCTCCTCTATAGCATCTTCATCGGTCGTGCCCATCCCCGGGACCTTCTCTTGGCCACTGGCCAACAGAGGAAAGCCGAGGAGAGGGATGCTCAGACGGGCAGTGTTCTCTGACGTGCAGCGCAAAGCTCTGGAGAAGATGTTCCAGAAACAGAAATACATCAGCAAACCAGACAGAAAGAAGCTGGCCTCAAAGCTCGGTCTCAAAGACTCACAGGTAAATAATTGACTTTTATTGCCCAGAGCTAAACTGTGCGTAATACGTGCATAATTACTCTTTCCATCGCATATGCATGCTAAAGTTGATACTGTGTGTATTACTGAAACTCTGTAATAAAGTCAACCTCTACAAACTGAAACTGAACTAACTGGTTATATTATTCCTTCTCCTTCGCCAGGTTAAAATCTGGTTCCAGAACCGCAGAATGAAGTGGAGGAACTCTAAAGAGAGGGAGCTCCTGTCGTCAGGAGGTTGTCGCGAGCAGACCCTGCCCACCAAAACGAACCCACACCCAGACCTCAGCGACGTCGGCAAGAAGTCCTCCGCGGAGGAAGATGAGGAGGACGAGATGGGAGAGGACCCATTCGGCGCTAGAGGCGCGCCTGGCCTTTGCCATTCCCCCGCCGCGGGGCGCGAGCTGTCCAACAGCGGCGGATCGAACCTCTCGTCGCCATCTCTCTCCAGCAAGCACTCGGAATTTTCAGAATCGGATGAAGAGATCACAGTTTCTTAATTTATTTATAAAAACTCAAAGATATGTTTATAAAATGGTTATCCACAGATGAACTGTACCTATGTGACCAGGTTTGCAAGAGGCTGTATCCCTTAATTTAGGCCCAACTAGTAAGAATAAATGTATTTCTTTCATATTCCAAATTTTTTTAAACAATGAACTTCTGTCAAATAAATTTAGGCTACATCCCTGATTATTTATTTTTAAAATAACTGCAGGGTTTATTTTATAGGAAGGCCCTAGCCCCCACCAAGAGGGCAATTTTCTTTTAGTGGCCCCCCCTCTTGACAGCAGAGACGTTTTAAAGTCAATTTATTGCAATTCTACACAGTTTGCCATGTGGCTTATGGAAAATGTTGCAGTTTTAAAGCAAGTTTGCAGCAGTTCTACACATTTTGCCATGGGGTGGAGAGATAATGTTGCAATTTTATAACACATTTCATGCAATTCTACTAATTTTGCTATGAGGCTGAGAGACATTTTTGCAGTTTTAAAGCAAGTTTTCTGCAGTTCTACACATTTTACCATGGTGCGGAGAGAAAATGTTGAAATGTCATAATAATGTCATTCAATTCTACTCATTTTGCATGACTTGTCATGTTAATGATATCTGACTGAGAGTGACTAACAAAATTAATGGGGCCCTGGGCCCGGTCGGTATTCGGCCATGATTTTAGATAACTGGCTAGACTAACTTCTAAAAATTGTTTGCAGGAATGGATAATTGAGTGACTGTCAGTGACTGACAAAACAAGAGAAAAGCTGCTGATGCACAACCAAATTTCAAACTTGCACCTTGTGTATTCTACTATTCTAACTCTCAACAGTAAGATGAGAACCTGACTGAGTTAAAAAGAAAACATGGGGGGCCCTAGTGGCCAGGAGCCCTAAGCGACCGCTTATATCGCTTATGCCTTGAGCCGTCCCTGTTTATAGGATATACTTCAAAATTATTTGCTGTTTTGCACAGCTCTTTCAATTGTACAGTATTTTGTACAACTATTTGTATGGACATTTTATGCCAAGAAAATTGAGTTACCTGGACTACGAGTTTTATTGAAAAGTGTAGACATTTCGTGCATAATTTATACGGATTTGTTAATTCAATGTATTGTGTCTGTATATATGTGTTAATATTTGACTATGTTTGTTATTTCAATGTATTATGTGTGTATATATGTGTTAATATTTCACTATGTTTTGTACAAATACCAAATAAAATGTAAAAGTTACATGGTATAACTTCTGTTACAAAATGGAAATTAACAACAAAAAAACGTTAAATATATAGATAGACAGGTTTATGTTAGTAGAGAGACATAATTGATAAGAAAGTCACTTTGCATTCATTAATAAATAACCATGATTTTTATTGAATCACAAATAACTTAAGACTAGTACAGTGATCTTCAGAATCAGTTCCCCAAGCTCCGGAGAGAACATTGATGATAAACTTCACACACCTGCTCTGATGCAAAAGAGACTGTACACAAAATACTCCTTTCCAAGTAGTTACAAATTGGCTAGAAAAGTCATCAAAATGTTGCAAGGTAATCAAGTATTTACACTGTTATGTTACATATATATTTTTTTTTACATAGCAAAGAAGGCTACACATTCATTGAGTTTTAAGAACATGTGAATTCAACAGCGACTCCATTCATTTCACCATCCAAACTGCTCAAAGCGAGCAGGTTTTTCACAGGTGGACAGACTGACAAACACATACATATCCGTTTTTTTTTGTGCTTGCATTTACTATGACAAGAGACCCCCTCCAAATGTACAGACACAACTTTGATTGATTTTTAAATTAACAAAGACTGTACCAGCTCCCCAAATATTATTCACAAAATCTGTTCACTTGCTGTACATCTCTTGGCAGTGCTGAAAAACCTTAAAGAACTGACCTTATAAGGCTTGGCTTCAATTTTGAGTTCAAAATGAATGTTGCATAGGATTGATGACTAAGAACACTCAAACATTGAAAGATAATGGAAGCGATGCTGGAAACAAATAACCTATAGGACCAAAAAACACACTTGCCGTCCTAGGATGAAGGTTTGGAGGAACAGGGAAAACATACACATTTCTGAAGCCAAGAAAAAATCTATTATATTTTGACATGAAGCCATAACCATTTAAAATCTTTAACTTCTCCCATTTTATACTCTCTCATTTGTACCTTTACACATGATCTCAAGTAAAATGACTTTAACAAAGCAGCATATACACATTGTTACATATTCACTCAACATGTTGTCATGACAATAATAATCATTACACATCACATAATCAAAACAGACAACAAGCATGGCAAAGGCGCAAAGGGGTGTATAGAAGGTAGATGAGGTATAGAGATTCAAACAATTCCTTAATAATCGTTCCCCCATATTCATTACATATCCATTACAAAATTATGTTTACTTTGAGCACCAACCAAATGTACTTTTCTATCTCACAGGTTGTCCTTAGTAAGTTATATCCAAACTTTTACAAACATCTCAGCATTGGGAGTAATACAATTAATTACATGTTATCAAAGCCCAAGTCGCTTTCCCTATTCAAGCCCTAATAACCTCTTAATAACATGGCATTGGTGTTTGATATGACAATAGTCGACACTGCTCTTCAAGCCCACCTGCCTTGGCACGACGCAAAGAGAGTGTCGACTTAAAGCCCTGTAAGTTTACAGCCAAAAAGACCAAATAAAAAAGTAGCTAATGCACATAGTCTGTTACAAAAAAAGTAAGGCATCCTTTTTTAAGTTCAGTCCAGCACCAAAGTATAGACTTTCATCTGGAGAAGAAGCTTATGCTACGGCGACCCGTTTGGGACAAAAGGAGTCACATGTAGGGGCAGGTGAATGGTGATGGGTGTGTGTCACTGGGGGCACAAGAAGGCATTGGGAACCAGTGAATTTGGTCTCTGTGAAGATGACGAAGATGAGACCTCCAGCACCATGCTCCAGAGGAGAGGGCCTGTAGCACAATCTGTAGCCCAGTTTGGAGCACTGCAGCTGGGGAAGAGCCGTGAGGAGCCTGGGTTGCTGATGTGGTGGGTTTGGCTCAAAGATGCAGTCTCTTTGTTTGCTTAAATCAGGAGACCATGGTACTGATGCTGATAAGGAAGATGGCGAAGATGATGAAGATGATGCTCCATACACAGTGTCAAATTCTGGTTTATGTCTGTTGTTTGTCTAAATGGTACATGAGGATTGGCTGTAGGAGAGTGGTTGGCCATGACGGTGCAAAAATAGAAGAGTGCAGCAGCAGCTTTCTGTTTCACTCCTTTTTTTGTTCAGTTCTTCTTCTCTTGTTTTGGGTTACCAGCACCCATAGTGTTCTTGATATGACAATTAAAGTGGCTTGATTTTTGTGGTGTGAGCTTGAAAAACTAATTCAAAAGAAATATTGTATTGACTGAACATAAAAACGTTAACTAAATGTATTTTTGTCTTCTTGGGAAAGGTGAGGAGTCGGATCACAATGTTGACTCCAGTGATGAGTCCAGGATGTCGTGTTGGTGACTGTTGCTATTAGAGTCACTGTCGTATCTCTGAGGGCTGGAGGAAGTGGCTGCTTCCTTCAGCCTCATTAGCATATTCATCTGAGGACGGAGACGCAGGGGTCAAAGGTTAGCGTGAGTGTGACTGTGTGTGTCTGTGTTGTCTCATGGATCTGCAGTGCCTGCTTGTGTGTGTTATGTGTACACTTGACCTGTTTTGAGCATTTGGGTGTGTGTGCGCACGCGTGTTGTCTCACCAGTGGGTCTGCGTCACTGTCGCTCTGCGGCGGCTCCTTCCTGATGCCCTCCCTGGGGGCGGAGTAACCGTCGAAGCCCACGTCTTCTGGGCGGAGCTGCAGCAGCGGGGGCCAATCAGCAGGTGTGGGCGTGGCTGACCAGGGGTAGCTGTCAATCACCCAGCGTGCAGGGTCCTCCCACGCTGACCTACGGCCGTACAGCTACAGAGAGGGAGACGGATGGAGGGGAGAGAGCATTGTAAGTATCAATGTAGAGGTATGATAATAATATGAAAACACAGTGAGTACCATACATAATGCGAGTGTGCATTTAATTTAATTTTTGTGACTGATATGTTTGAGTGTGCCTGTGTGAATGCACATGCATGTGTTGTACGTGTGTGTGCGTGTGTTGCATGCCTTTGTGTGTGTACAGTCGTGGTCAAAAGTTTTCACAAAGTCTGCTGCCTCAGTTTTGATAATGGCAATTTGCATATACTCCAGAATGTCATGAAGAGTGATCAGATGAATTGCAATTAATTGCAAAGTCCCTATTTGCCATGAAAATGAATTTAATCCCCAAAAAACATTTCCAATGCATTTCAGCCCTGCCACAAAAGGACCAGTTGCCATCATGTCAGTGATTCTCTCGTTAATACAGGTGAGAGTGTTGACGAGGACAAGGCTGGAGATCACTCTGTCATGCTGATTGAGTTACATACGATTGAATAACAGACGCCAGGTGGAAGCTTTAAAAGGAGGGTGGTGCTTGAAATCATTGTTCTTCCTCTGTTAACCATGGTTACCTGCAAGGAAACACGTGCCGTCATCATTGCTTTGCACAAAAAGGGCTTCACAGGCAAGGATATTGCTGCTAGTAAGATTGCACCTAAATCAACCATTTATCGGATCATCAAGAACTTCAAGGAGAGCGGTTCAATTGTTGTGAAGAAGGCGTCAGGGCGCCCAAGAAAGTCCAGTAAGCGCCAGGACCGTCTCCTAAAGTTGATTCAGCTGCGGGATCGGGGCACCACCAGTGCAGAGCTTACTCAGGAATGGCAGCAGGCAGGTGTGAGTGCATCTGCACGCACAGTGAGGCAAAGACTTTTGGAGGATGGCCTGGTGTCAAGAAGGTCAGCAAAGAAGCCACTTCTCTCCAGGAAAAACATCAGGGACAGACTGATATTCTGCAAAAGGTACACGGATTGGACTGCTGAGGACTGGGGTAAAGTCATTTTCTCTGATGAATCCCCTTTCCGATTGTTTGGGGCATCCAGAAAACACCTTGTCCGGAGAAGACAAGGTGAGCACTACCATCAGTCCTGTGTCATGCCAACAGTAAAGCATCCTGAGACCATTCATGTGTGGGGTTGCTTCTCAGCCAAGGGAGTGGGCTCACTCACAATTTTGCCTAAGAACACAGCCATGAATAAAGAATGGTACCAACACATCCTCCGAGAGCAACTTCTCCCAACCATCCAAGAACAGTTTGGTGACGACCAATGCCTTTTCCAGCATGATGGAGCACCTTGCTATAAGGCAAAAGTGATAACTAAGTGGCTCGGGGAACAAAACATCGACATTTTGGGTCCATGGCCAGGAAACTCCCCAGACCTTAATCCCATTGAGAACTTGTGGTCAATCCTCAAGAGGCGGCTGGACAAACAAAACCCCACAAATTCTGACAAACTCCAAGCATTGATTATGCAAGAATGGGCTGCCATCAGTCAGGATGTGGCCCAGAAGTTAATTGACAGCATGCCAGGGCGGATTGCAGAGGTCTTGAAAAAGAAGGGTCAACACTGCAAATATTGACTCTTTGCATAAACTTCATGTAATTGTCAATAAAAGCCTTTGACACTTATGGAATGCTTGTAATTATACTTTAGTATACCATAGTAACATCTGACAAAAATATCTCATAACACTGAAGCAGCAAACTTTGTGAAGACCAATACTTGTGTCATTCTCAAAACTTTTGACCACGACTGTATAGCCTACCTGCAGTCCCTCTCTGATTGCCTCCAGCATGTAGGGGATGATGGAGTAGTTCCAGAGGTCAGTGAACCACACCCTGGAGCCAGCCACGTCCATGGGACATGACAGGAAGAGGCGTGGCCCTGGGGAGGCAAAGGTCAAAAGTCAGATGGATGTTAAATAGTGCCACTGTGCCTTTTCTTTCAATCCTCTTTTGGAAAATGAGCTTATGGCCAGATGAGGTTATGAATATTGAGAATATTGTGACACAAAGCACAATAACATGCAAAAAACACATTATACTCAGACCACAAAATGTGCCTAATGTCATGATTAGTCCACATCCCACCCCATCGGTTTTGTAAATCCAGCTATATGCCTTAAACCCCAAATTAATGGAGAAGATAAGCACCACAAATTTCAAAATTACTTGGTGCTTATCTTTTCCATTCATTTTGGATTGGGGCATATAGCTGGTTTATGACGTCATTGTGTTTTCTACCCACCGATGGTAACGTCAGAGGAGCTGTGTGCCTCTAGGAAGTGGTTGAGGTGGTGCCAGACGCGAGGGATCCAGTCGATGATCTTGACCAGCTCCAGGGTGCGCTTACGGCTGCTGATCTCCGTCTCGATCAGTTTCCTCCTCAGGTAGCGACCCAGGAAGCCCTTCACCGGCTCCAAGTGATTGGCACACAGCACCCATCTGATCACATATGCAAACGAGAGAGAGGAGGAGTTAATAGGTTAGTACTCATTCATGAATACAGCCAATAAAGACACTCCATCTTTCCATTCTGAAGGAATGGAGAGAGTGCAATGGATTGCTGCCCAATCTGTTGCTGCCACCTAGTGATGAATCATGCAAAGTGCATTTCAAATTCAAACATTTTACTGTTTCATTTCAGTTACTATTGATCTTCAACTGGTATATCTAGTATTATTATGGCTGTTGAGTTAGCCTACCTGAAGTTGTGGTGGAGTTGTAGGTTGGGGGCAGAGGATGTGGCCTGGCTCATAGTACCGATGATGTAGGGGCTGGGGACAGAGAGAACACACAGAAAATCAACACATTTACAATAAACACAACTGCGTGTATGTGTGTGTGTGTGTGTGCATGTGTGTGCACTCACCAACATTGGTATTTGCAGTTGAACACTCCGTTGAAGATTTCGCCCAGTGAGGAGACGTGGTGCATGTTATCCAGTATGACCACTAGAGGACTCTCTGCCTCTGGTCTGTCACTGCTGCACTGCTCAGACAGGCCTGTCAGGTACTGACGCAACTCCTAGAGAGAGAGAGAGAGAGAGAGAGCGAGAGAAAGAGAGAGAAAGAGAGAGAGAGAGAGAAAGAGAGAGAGAGAGAAAGAGAAAGAGAGAGAGAGAGAGAGAGAGAGAGACAGACAGACAGACAGACAGACAGACAGACAGACAGACAGACAGACAGACAGACAGACAGACAGACAGACAGACAGACAGACAGACAGGAGGTTTACACATCAAGTTTTTTTTCAATGCACAAAAACCTTTTGAGTTGCTTTAACATAAGACACTCTTTTGAGTTCTGCCTCCAAGATACATGTCTAATATAACAGAAAAAAAGGCAAATTAATCGTCACATCACACAATATATCGTCTTCGCCAGTTGGTGCCCTATGCTTCGGTGAGGTGCTTCAGGGGCATAGCTACGTACCTTGCTAGACTTGTGGTCCACGTTAAAGGTGACGACGGAATGAGGGGTCAGGGGTCGGCCCTCCTGCAGGAGCAGGTGTCTTGCCAGATGATTCGCCAGGTGTGTTTTACCGGTGCCGCTGGGGCCAGAGAGAATGACACGGCGGTGCTCCCTCAGCAGAGACACGTAGCGCTGCAGCATGGGCTTAGGGATCAGAGTGTCAAACACCAGGCAGTCCACACTCCCACTGCTCACACCTAGAGAGGGAGAGAGAGGCAGAGAGAGGGAGGGAGAGAGAGAGAGACATTCTTACACAGAGAACACATGTACGCTATACACACCAGATTGTAGGGAGAGATAAACACATTTAGAGAAACACACACACTCATACCTTTGAGCCTGATGTTGATGGTGTCGCTGTCTCCAACCAGGTAGCCGCATGGCAGCAGCTCGGGGGTGTGAGCGGTGCTGGTGTTGCTATGGCGATGCACATCCCCAATGTTGTATCCCTCCACACTGTCACAGGTCAGCCCAAGCTGGCTCACTGGGTCCACATGGGTGATGTACTCCTACAAAAGCATGAGCGAAAAGGTCAAGGGTTAGGTGATATGCAACTCAACTATGAAGTTCTTATTTTGATGTTGGAAAGATAAATACAATTAACGAAACCTTTATTCACAAATTAAGTGATTCATTCAATGTGTTTACCTTAAAGAGGCGGCGGACCACCCCATCCAAGACGTCCCACTTAGTTTTACCACTCACACCGATACAGCCAATCAGGAAGTGGCGAGGCCTGACCTCCTGGGAGAGGTCCTCATCCAGACTGACCACTATCTTCACGTGTCGTCCCTCTTTCCTCATTACTCCATCTCCCACTGTATCATCCAACAACATGTCTGAGAGGAGAGAGGAAGAGGAGAGTGAGACTCATACATACACCCATCCACAAAAATACACAATCAGGCACACACACTCTCAAAGGCAATCATATCCCAAACACAAATACAGATGTACACACACTTAAAACACATGCTCACACATATACCCAACCATACAGATACCATATCAAAACACGCTGTTCTCACCCAGGCTGGTGGACTCAGTGAGGTTGATGCTGTGCTGGGACAGGCCAGGCCCTGGGGTAGGGGTGTGTGTATGATGAGAGGGCGAGGACGAGATGGAGGCCTGGGAGGGGGCTCTGCTGCCCCCTGTACTCTCCAGCTTCAGACGGTCATTCTCTGCTTTCAATTTCTCTATCTCCCCCTGAGAGAAAACACAGGAAGACATAGCAACAGTCGGTCAACAGAACAGTGTGTGTGTGTGTGTGTGTGTGTGTGTGTGTGTGTGTTGTGTGTGTGTGTGTGTGTGTGTGTGTGTGTGTGTGTACGCGCGTACGTTTCACCGTGTGTGTGTGTGTTACCTGCATGTGGTTCATGGCCTCTCTGAGCTGGTCCAGTTGATGGGCCGAGCTGAGAGCCTCAAGGCGGATGTCGGTCAGCTTCATCTCCTTCTCCCTGAGCTCGCTGCGGAGCTGCATCACTGTCTCTGCCTCACCGTCCAGACAGTCCGACAGCCTACACACAGATGCTCATTGATATAACTTGTACATTTTCTCTCTCTCACACACACACACGCGCGCACGTACGCACACACGCACACACAAACACCACACCGTATACGTACAGTGAGTTGGAGTGTGAGTTCCTAAACATGTGGCTGGAGGTTGTGGATCCATTGTGTGGGAGTTTGGGGGAGGAGGGTAGGGAGAAGTCTGTCATCTCCTCTATGTCAGAGTGGGACGAGGCAGACTTAGGAGATTTCTTCTTACTGAACGCCTGCTTGAAGGAGCTCCGCAACTGCAGGGGGAGAGAGACAGAGAGGAGAGGAGGGTGAGTGTATGTGTGTGTGAGAGAGAAGTGTGAGGATACACTCCCAAAACAGACGGGGAGCAAGGGAAAGCAGGAGGAAAGCGGAGGAAGGCAGCTGTGAGGGAGTGCCTGAGTAAGCGAGAAATAGATCAAGAAAAGAGAGAAGAAGGGAAAGAGAAGCAAGGGGAAAGGACTAGTGCTATAAGGAGGCCGTGACTTGAGCTTATGCTCTAAACACAAACACTAAGAGGTGTCAGTGTGAATGAGTGTCAGGTGGTTATTGTCAGGTGGTTGTGTGTGGTTACAGACATCCAGTCCACTAACCTCACCTACTGTGTGTGTATAACTGTATAATGCTCTGTAGACTAGAGAAATAACTACACTGCAGTGAATAGGACTAGAAAAGAGCACCCAAGGCTGTCGCGGAGACTATCAGTTTCATGTAACCTTGAATTTACAGCTAGAATGGTATAGTATGTTTGCTACACGATTACTATGAAATGATTGCATTATAATTGAGCCTTGTATGAAGTTTGTTTCAGAGCAGACTCAAAGTCACATCAGGAAAGGAATCAGCATAAAGAACACAACTGGAGAAGAAACCAGAGGGATGATTGAGGACAGGAGAGGAAGGAGAGGGAGTGTGTTAGTAACCTACAGAGTGCTGAGGTTAATGTTAGCTTTAGGTTAAGCTGCCTTTAGTTTTTTGGGTTTTTCATCCACTCTTACCTCATAGACCTGCCACATGAAGCGATAGCACAGAGGAAGACAGAGAGAGAGAGAGACACAAAACAGCACAGGTTCAGTGGGGAGTGTGTGAGTGTGTTAGTGGTAGGGACATACAGCGTACAGTGGAGGCTGCAGAATGTGGACTGTGGTATGTGGCTGTTCTGCACCGTAAGATACTGAGGCCATTTGCTTCAACCTACACTCGTGCAGACTGATGTCCTTCTAATAGGGAGCTCATTTACAGTCCACTGCCCTTTTTACCATGATACCTCACAGACAGCCCACATACACCCTACATACCTTACCCTACCACATATGGCTTATCCAATCCGCATATTATCAAAGGACCACCTATTGTCTGTGCAAAAAGCATGTGAGAACCATGGGCTCTCTGAGAATAGCTTATTATCACTAGATCTTAAACATGTAACGTGACTTTCGCTTGTTGAAACTTTATATAGACAGTACACCTTCTCACAAAGTCCTTGGATCGGGACAGGAGTATTCTATGATAAATCTATAGAGCTACAAATATAGACATTCAAAGCTAAAGCCAGCTTATACAGGGTCACTTCAATGTTATTATATCTATGGGCCAGAGGATAGGAATACAAATCACTAGGGTCTAGACAGGTTCAATAGCAGCCAATACCATAAAGCAATTAGAGTAGGGCTCAATTCCATTTCAAATCCTGTTGGAAACCAAATGCAGTTGTCTCGTCCTGACCTATAGAACTCTAGTTAGTTTGGTCAGGGTGTGGCTGTTTAGTTCTAGGTTGTTGTATATCTATGGTTAGAGTCTAGTGGTTCTACGTCTATGTTTGGCCGGGTATGATTCCCAATCAGAGGCAGCTGTTGCTCGTTGTCTCTGATTGGGGATCATACTTAGGCAGCCAGTTTTCCTGCCTGGGTTGTGGGATCTTGTTCATACTCTTGTTTTGCTTGTACGTGTTTTAGCCATAGTGAGTGTCACGTCACGTTGCCTTTTGTTGTTTTTGTCAAGTGTTTATCCAGTTTAATAAACATGTTCGCATACCACGCTGCACCTTGGTCTGACCCGTCTCTCAACGTCTGTGACAGCAATACCATTCCTGAAATGTTATTGGAATTGAGCCCAAGTCTGGAGGATCAACTAGGAGATAGATTTGCTACAGACACTACAGCAGTGAAACACCGGGTATGACAGCTTATCAAGATACTGTAGATGTAGGCAACAAAATAGAGTTCAATAGTATCTTCAGAGTGTCTCAAGCGTAGCTGTTTCCATCTAGCATCTCTGAAGCGGTACACATACAATTACTTGACACAAAAGCTTTCAGGTTGATCACTATTTTGTTGCCTACAGATAACAACATCAAGGCACACAGTCTAAAAGCACAAATAGGATGCATACATCATCCTCTTCAACCTGTCCTCCTGTGCAAGACACAATCTGTCAGCAACAAGGAGCAAGAGGGAACACAACAAGAAATGGAACAACGTTAACTTCCTGAATCAACAGGAAATTGAAAATATTAGAATATGTTTCACAAAACCTCTACAACTTGTAGATCTAGGTAACATACCAAATTACACACTATTCCCTATACAGTACACTACTTTTGAACAGTAACGGAGTCTACAAGAAAAGCTAATTGCATTGCATTCACCTTGGCCCCTGTGCAAGATGCCTGAGAAAGAGACCCCAGAGTGTGAGTTACAAACACATAAATACACAAATACATACAGTACCAGTCAAAAGTTTGGACAAGAGTGTGCAATGCTGTCAAGAGTGTGCAAGGCAAAGGCTGGCTATTTGAAGAATCTCAAATATAAAATATATTTTGATTTGTTCAGCACTTTTTTGGTTACTACATGATTCCATATGTGTTATTTAATAGTTTTGATGTCTTCACTATTATTCTACAATGTAAACATTTGTAAAAAAACTTGAATGAGTAGGTGTGTCCAAACTTTTGACTGGTAGTGTATATAGAGAGATGAAACAAGTGAGACAGAGACAAACCTACATACCAGTTGTTAGATTTAATTTGGAGTAAGATATGCTTGTGTGTATTGTAGGTTGTGTGTGTTAGTGAGTGATCATGATCGTACTCAGTTCCAGTGTGTGTGTGTGTGTGTGTGTGTGTGTGTGTGTGTGTAATATGTATGTGTGAGTGTGCGCTTGAATGCGTGTGCATGTCTACGAATGTACATACCCAGTTCTTCTTGTTCTTCTTCTTGTTCTTAGCGTCGGCGTCCATGTTGGATCCCACACTGGAGTGGCTGGTTGCACTGGCAATGCTGCTGACGCTGTCTGACGAGTGCTGTCTCCTCATCCGTAGGTCTGGCTGCTGCTGCTGCTGGGGGCTGCCATTACTACCACCACCACCTGAGAAAGAACCTGAGAAAGAGGGGTTGAGAGACAGAAAAGAGAGAGAGAGAGAGAGAGAGAGACTTTTTTTAAAGACTCAGAAATAATACAGTATCACAGCATTGTGGGAAGTTTATAACTTCACCTTTTCCCTTGCCAGGTGTAAGCTTCAAGGTACAGTCAGCGATATGATGTAGATGCATAAAATGAACAGCATAGTGCAGGGTTCCCCAACTGGTGGGGCGCGGGTGATTTTATTTGGCCCCCCAAGTTTTCTGAGCAAGTTTGAGAGATAAAAGACTGTAAAAATACAGTACCAGCAAATCGCCTCCAAGTGATTTTCATTTTGGAAATCTGTTCCAAACTATTCCCACGTCTAACAGAGCGATATAGTGATCGTATTCAAACGTAAGCTAGGTTTGAAAATATTATGTTTTAGTCAAATATTATATTACGGTCAATTACAGTCTACAAATTATTTGTAATTATGTTCCGGCCCCCTGACCCTCCGCTCAAGAAAGAATCGGCCTGAGGCGGAACGTAGTTGATGATCCCTGGCATAGTGGGTCAATTTCCGCAACAACTAAGAGCGTTGAAGTGCGAGGCTAAACTTCTCAGCTGTTTTGGTCCCGTAGAAGTCTTGCATCTCGCTCATCATAATACGCAAATGTATGTGGACACCTGCTCGTCGAACATCTCATCCCAAAATCATGGGCATTAATATGGAGTTGGTCCCCCCTTTGCTGCTATAACAGCCTCCACTCTTCTGGGAAGGCTTTCCACTAGATTTTGGAAAATTGCTTCGGGGACTTGCTTCCATTCGGCCACAAGAGCATTAGTGAGGTCGGCACTGATGTTGGGTGATTATCAGTAGTGGAAAAAGTACCCAATTGTCATACTTGAGTAAAAGCAAAGATACCTTAATAGAAAATGACTCAACTAAAACTAAAATACTACTTGAGTAAAAGTCTAAAAGTATTTGGTTTTAAATATACTTAAATATCAAAAGTAAATGTAATTGCTAAAATATACTTAAGTATAATTTCAAATACCTTATATTAAGCAAACCAGATGCCGCCATTTTTATTTATTTAAGGAAAGCCAGGGGCACACTCCAACACTCAGACATAATTTACAAACAAAGCATGTGTGTTTAGTGAGTCCGCCAGATCAGAGGCAGTAGGGATGACCAGGGATGTTATCTTGATAAGTGCGTGAATTTGACCCTTTTCCTGTCCTGCTAAGCATTCAAAATGTAACAAGTACTTTTGGGTGTCAGGGAAAATGTATGAAGTAAAAAGTAAATTATTTTCTTTAAGAATGTAGTGAAGTAAAGGTAAAAGTTGTCAAAAATATAAATAGTAAAGTAAAGTACATATACCCCAAAAAACTACTTAAGTAGTACTTTACAGTATTTTTACTTTAGTATTTACACCACTGGCGATTAGGCCTTGCTCGCAGTTAGCGTTCCAATTCATCCCAAAAGGTGTTAGATGGGGTTGATGTCAGGGCTCTGTGCAGGCCAGTCAAGTTCTTCCACACCGATCTCGACAAACCATTTCTGTATGTACCTCGCTTTATGCACGGGGGCATTGTCATGGTTAAACAGGAAAGGGCCTTCCCAAAACTGTTGCCACAAAGAACGTCATTGTATGCTGTAGCGTTAAGATTTCCCTTCACTGGAAGTAAGGGAACTAGTCCAAACCATGAAAAACAGCCCCAGACCATTATTCCTCCTCCACCAAACTTTACAGTTGGCACTATGCATTCAGGCAGGTAGTGTTCTCCTGGCATCCGCCAAACCCAGATTCGTCTGTCGGACTGCCAGATGATGAAGCGTGATTCATCACTCCAGAGAACCCGTTTCCACTGCTCCAGAGCCCAATGGCAGCGAGCTTTAACCACTCCAGCCGACGCTTGGTATTCAGCATGGGGATCTTAGGCTTGTGTGCGGCTGCTCGGCCATGGAAACCCATTTCATTAAGCTCCAGATGAACAGTTCTTGTGCTGACATTGCTTCCAGAGGCAGTTTGGAACTCGGTAGTGAGTATTGCAACCGAGGACAGACGATTTTTACGCACTACGCGCTTCAGCACTCGACGGTCCCGTTCTGTGAGCTTGTGTGGCCTACCACTTCGCTGTTGAGCCGTTGTTGCTCCTAGACATTTCCACTTCTTAATAACAACACTTACGGTTAACCGGGGAAGCTTTAGCAGGGCAGCAAGTTTACGAACTGACTTGTTGGAAAGGTGGCATCCTATGACGGTGCCACGGTGAAAGACACTGAGCTCTTCAGTACAGACCATTCTACTGCCAATGTTTGTCTATGGAGATTGCGTGGCTGTCTGCTCGATTTTATACACCTGTCAGCAACGGGTGTGGCTGAAATAGCCGAATCCACTAATTTGAAGGGGTGTCCACATACCTTTGTATATATAGTGTATATGCGGTGCTGCTCGTGGAAACGTAAGTCCACTGTACCTTTAAGGTACTGTTAGAGGTTGTTGGAGTTATTGCTATGGTTGTGGTTCGGTTCTCCTTACCTGTCCTATTCTGTTTGCAGGTGAGTTCAGGTGTGTTGATGACTCCGTTGATGGCGGCCTGGGCCACGTTGTTCTGTTTCTTCAGCAGCTCAATGTTCTTCCTCAGCTCGTTCAGCTCACAGTCCTGCAGGGAAAACACATTTAGAATATTACAACAACATGCAAATAACATTCACATATCTAAAATTCATATACATATATATATCGTATTTTCATATTTTGGTTTTCATTGGCCGAGATGAACATAATTCAATTGTGCCTTAAATGATGTCATGTTATGCTATGTCATGCCTCACCTTGTGCTCAGCCGTCATAGTGAGACTCTTCAATCTGATGGTCATGTTACCCAGGCTCTGTTCAAACGCTGCCACCAGGTGAGCCTGCACAGGGAAATAACACAGGTTAGAATATGTCAAACTATACTTCAAAGAGGTTATATTATAGTTCAACTTAGTTTGGGCGGCCAAAGATCCTTCAGTAGCGGTTATTGTCAAAGCATGAGAGTGATGAGAGCAACAGTAGCTGTACTCCCAGATGACCTGCACCAAGGACAGAACTAGTAAAAGATAAGACAAGAGCAACTGCCAGGAATCCAAGCCAAGTTACCGAATAACAACAGTTACTTCAGCTTAAAGCCAACAGCTAATCGATTAGCCTACATTCCAATTAAAAACTAGAAGTCAAAGCAAAAAGCGAAAAACAGCAAATGCTACACATCATAATAACCAACTCTGTTAGTCTCACAACTTCTAATGTTTCAAAAGGCGGCACCAGAAATCCTCTAAATCTGGCTTAAATCCTCTCACACCTCTCTGATAGATGTGTCCACACTAGAGCTTTGGTCGACGGGGTCTCCCAGGCCCCCTCTGAGGGGCTGAACCGGATGGCTACTCCTCCTGGAAGGGTAGTGGTTTAGGGGGAGCCAGATGCCCTCTGTGCCCGGTCTGGGGTATGGTCTGCTGGACGTCATGGCTAGGGAGGCTGGATGCTAACAATGCTAAAGCTACAGCATTGACACTGTGGCTCTTGAGTACCTCTTTTCCCCTACACACACACTAACTGTGTATATTCTCTCCAGTGTCTAAGAGCTAAGACAGAGTGTCTGGGTGGGTGGATGGGTGGAGAGAGAGAGCGTGGAGGGTTGAAGGGGAATGCGAGGGACGGAGAGACAGTGAGGAGACAGAGAGAGGTGGTATCTGTTTGATGATAGACTCCTCCTAATTGTGATAAAAAGAGACAGACAAGGTAGAGCCAGAGACCTTGAACAACTATGAGTTGAGATACTGCACCAAAACATAGAATACAAGACTGGCTTTGAGCAGTGTGAGAAAAGCTCTCATTGAACGTATACTGACGGTTAACACAGCCACAATGGCCTCGCCTGAAACCCAAACACGACATCACTCAGGTCCATTTTATACCACAACCACACACAGTACCAAACCCAAATAATCATAATCTACTACAAATAATAATCTAGCTCAGGGTTTCTTAAACTATGGGTCGGGACCCAAAGTGGGCCCTGGGCATGTTAGAGGTGAGTTATGAGAATACATCTATAATCACACAATTTATGCTTAATTTGGGTCAATGGAGGACGATTTGGGTCAGGGGAGGACGGTCAAATTTCTCATTTGGGTCTTGAGTGTAAGAAACCATGATCTAGCTTGTACAAATAATAATCTGCATCAGTTAAAAAGCCCGGTAACCAGATACACACTCAAAGCCACACAGTATCAAAACCAAACACAACCAAAACATTACATCATTCCTACCCAATAAACAGACAAACAGATCCAAGCATGCTAGAGAGCCAAACCTTTTAGATCTTAATGAATACGATTATATGAACCGGGGGGGACCTGATCCTAGATCAGCAATCCTACTCTGAGACGCTTGATACACCCTTTTGACCACCAAACCAAAGTTATAATTCACTACAATGGTGAAATAGTAGACCACTGTGTGACAACCTTCATCACCTAAGAACGTTTAATCTCCTCTGTCTAGGATGCTCTGCGTACTTAACCCCCGCACTACGCGCTGTCCAATGAAAACGTAGGTTCACCTCTGAACACGCAGGGAGGTGGTTGGTGTACTAGCGTGTAGCAGACGTGTTGACTGACACACGATTCAAGTCACGGCGCTGCTGTCATACGTGAGGGGCTTTGCAGCCAGATATGTGTCTTTGCCTTGAGGGTGTGTTCTCAATACTCATACAAGCACCCATCTGTCTGTCGGGGAACATATAATCAAATATATGAACAAAGTCTACCCAACCCAACTGGGGAAGGGTACCAACATTTATTTGCAGCATTGAAAGTCCCCAAGAACATCATTCTTAAATAGAAGACGTTTGGAACCACCAAGACTCTTCCTAGAGCTGGCCGCCCAGACAAATTGAGCAATCGGGGGAGAAGGGCCTTGGTCAGGGAGGTGACCAAGAACCCGATGGTCACTCTGGCAGAGCTCCAGAGTTCCTCTATGGAGATGGGAGAACCTTCCAGAAGGACAACCATCGCTGCAGCACTACACCAATCAGGCCTTTATGGTAGAGTGGCCAGACGGAAGCCACTCCTCAGTAAAAGGCACATGACAGCCCGCTTGGAGTTGGCCAAAAGGCACCTAAAGGACTCTCAGACCATGAGAAACAAGATTCTCTGGTCTGATGAAACCAAGATTGAACTCTTTGGCCTGAATGCCAAGCGTCACGTCTGGAGGAAACCTGGCACCATCCCTACAGTTGAAGCATGGTGGTGACAGCATCATGCTGTGGGGAGGTTTTTCAGCTTCAGGGACTGGGAGACTAGTCAGGATAAGTCAGGGAAAAGATTAACGGAGCAAAGTACAGAGCGATCCTTGATGAAAACCTACTCCAGAGCGCTCAGGACCTCAGACTGGGGTGAAGGTTCACCTTTCAACAGGACAACGACACTAAGCACACAGCCAAGATAACGCAGGAGTGGCTTCGGGACAGGTCTCTGAATGTCCTTGAGTGGCCCAGCCAGAGCCCGGACTTCAACCCGATGGAACATCTCTGGAGAGACCTGAAAATAGCTGTGCAGCAACACTCCCCATCCAACCTGACAGAGCTTGAGAGGATCTGCAGAGAGGAATGGGATAAACTCCCCAAATACAGTTGTGCCAAACATGTAGCGTCATACCCAAGAAGACTCGAAGCTGTAATCACTGCCAAACCTGTTTTTGGTTTGTCATTATGGGGTATTGTGTGTAGATGGATGAGGGAAAAAAACAATTTAATCCATTTTAGAATAAGGCTGTAATGCAACAAAATGTGGAAAAAGTGAAGGGGTCTGAATACTTTCCGAATGCACTGTATGTGTGTGTGCAAGAAATTGTTTCTGTGTGTTTGGGACTATGTGTATCTGAGAGGCAGAGTGTGTGTGTGTGTGTCTGTCAGCAAATGAGTTCCTGTATGTGTTTCTGCTTGAGTGTGTGTGTCCTAGGGCTGTGGCGGTCATTACATTCTGTCAGATGGTAACGGTCATGTAAATGTCTGCCGGTCTCAAGGTAATTGACCGTTAATTAACAAACACGTTTAGCATCTCCAGGCCCCGACGCTTACAAGCCGCTGATGCGTGCCTTTAGAACATCTAAGTTTTTAAAAAGTATAATACATCCATTTAATATACACCATTTATTTTAGGCAGATCTAAAGAAACATTATGATATGAAGAAAATGTATTTCAGAAGAACAGAATATGAGTCGGCCTACTGTATGTTATCTGGCTATGCGTAATGTCAATGGAAGGCTGTAGGCTAGTTCATTTAGCAGACAAGATATGCTTATAAATTCTGTGCCATTATATGAATATAATTGAACTTAGCGGAATAAAATAGAAAGGATATTTTTCTCATTCCCATGCGAGCATATGAGCTATGTTGAGAGTAAAAGTGATCCTTTGAAACAGGTCCTATAAGCTCGATTTATGTGAATGATACAAACCTTAGAATGTCTTAGAAATGAAAGCATATTGTATACGGGCTGCATTATTCTACTATATTGATGATTTGGAAAAAGTCACAAAAACAGCTTGCACTCTGTTCCTTGCCTCACGCTGTTCTCTTATCAAGTGATAATATTCTCACTATTCTCAATGTAATCTTGTCTTTACTAATATGTGAAATTAGTTTTGATTTAGAATAGGCTATTATCAAATAGGCAGGAACAAGGGCAGGGGGAAAAATACATGTCATCCTTACGTACTCGAATAGTGAATGGAGGCTGCGCTTTCCCACAGTTTCAATCATGCTGGGTAGGCTACTCCGGTTTTACATCAGAGAAAGGTGCTTAATATTAGCAGCTGAAAAATAAATATAGTAGCAGTAGAAAGCTGTGATCATCCTCTTTTTAGAGGTAACCATCATATTCTGTAGCTAAAGGTAATGTGGCAGCCTATTAATTATGAAAATATAAAAAAATACCCTATTACTAGGCTATTCAAAATCAAATACAAATTCACTATAATTGTAGGCTAACTATACTCTGTAAGCAACCCTGCACAATCAATCAATGAACCAACAGCATCGCCTAGGCCTATACATTCTCTCCCAGACTCATGGATATACAGTGGGGGAAAAAAGTATTTAGTCAGCCACCAATTGTGCAAGTTCTCCCACTTAAAAAGATGAGAGAGGCCTGTAATTTTCATCATAGGTACACGTCAACTATGACAGACAAATTGAGAGAGAAAAAAATCCAGAAAATCACATTGTAGGATTATTAATGAATTTATTTGCAAATTATGGTGGAAAATAAGTATTTGGTCACCTACAAACAAGCAAGATTTCTGGCTCTCACAGACCTGTAACTTCTTCTTTAAGAGGCTCCTCTGTCCTCCACTCGTTACCTGTATTAATGGCACCTGTTTGAACTTGTTATCAGTATAAAAGACACCTGTCCACAACCTCAAACAGTCACACTCCAAACTCCACTATGGCCAAGACCAAAGAGCTGTCAAAGGACACCAGAAACAAAATTGTAGACCTGCACCAGGCTGGGAAGACTGAATCTGCAATAGGTAAGCAGCTTGGTTTGAAGAAATCAACTGTGGGAGCAATTATTAGGAAATGGAAGACATACAAGACCACTGATAATCTCCCTCGATCTGGGGACTCCACGCAAGATCTCACCCCGTGGGGTCAAAATGATCACAAGAACGGTGAGCAAAAATCCCAGAACCACACGGGGGGACCTAGTGAATGACCTGCAGAGAGCTGGGACAAAAGTAACAAAGCCTACCATCAGTAACACACTACGCCGCCAGGGACTCAAATCCTGCAGTGCCAGACGTGTCCCCCTGCTTAAGCCAGTACATGTCCAGGCCCGTCTGAAGTTTGCTAGAGTGCATTTGGATGATCCAGAAGAGGATTGGGAGAATGTCATATGGTCAGATGAAACCAAAATAGAACTTTTTGGTAAAAACTCAACTCGTCGTGTTTGGAGGACAAAGAATGCTGAGTTGCATCCAAAGAACACCATACCTACTGTGAAGCATGGGGGTGGAAACATCATGCTTTGGGGCTGTTTTTCTGCAAAGGGACCAGGACGACTGATCCGTGTAAAGGAAAGAATGAATGGGGCCATGTATCGTGAGATTTTGAGTGAAAACCTCCTTCCATCAGCAAGGGCATTGAAGATGAAACGTGGCTGGGTCTTTCAGCATGATAATGATCCCAAACACACCGCCCGGGCAACGAAGGAGTGGCTTCGTAAGAAGCATTTCAAGGTCCTGGAGTGGCCTAGCCAGTCTCCAGATCTCAACCCCATAGAAAATCTTTGGAGGGAGTTGAAAGTCTGTGTTGCCCAGCGACAGCCCCAAAACATCACTGCTCTAGAGGAGATCTGCATGGCGGAATGGGCCAAAATACCAGCAACAGTGTGTGAAAACCTTGTGAAGACTTACAGAAAACATTTGACCTGTGTCATTGCCAACAAAGGGTATATAACAAAGTATTGAGAAACTTTTGTTATTGACCAAATACTTATTTTCCACCATAATTTGCTAATAAATTCATTAAAAATCCTACAATGTGATTTTCTGGATTTTTTTCCTCATTTTGTCTGTCATAGTTGACGTGTACCTATGATGGAAATTACAGGCCTCTCATCTTTTTAAGTGGGAGAACTTGCACAATTGGTGGCTGACTAAATACTTTTTTCCCCACTGTAAAGTTTGGAGCATAGCATAAGGTAACCAGTCCATCCAGTGTGCGTAATAACACAGTCCACACTCAAAGGAGATTACTAGAGTTTGTATAATTTTGGAGTAGGCCAATTATTTACCAAAGACATCTAAAATATGTTTTAAAATAATAATAAAAAAAAAACAGTGTTTCTGCCGTGCGTAATATGTGGTAGGCTATTTATTAGGCTATGTGTTCTACATGCGACATCTTAAATGCGTTGAAATAATCATCACCTTAGAAAGAGCTGTCGATTTCGTTGTGTTTGGCTTTGAAACAAGATCCACAACAACCATGTTTTCAACTCAGTTTCAACCTGTTGTTGAACTTCTTTCATAAAATTGATCTATCACAGTGAGGTCAAACAACATCGCCTAACGGTGAGTTTTAAAAGCATGATACTGTTTTGATGATAAGTGATTTTCGATTGCATTTGCATTGAGTGATTAGAGGGACAATAGAGCTGTGGTCATGATTCATGACTGCCGGTGTGGCGGTAGTCACCGCAACAGCCCTAGTGTTTACACTTTCGTTTCTGTATATTTGTGCAGGCATATGTTTCCACAACTATGTGTGTAGCTAGGTTTCCCTCCTGTTGTACTTACATTAGCACTCAGCTGTGTTGTCAGGGCAGAGACTTTTTCCTGGGAGGCGTCCAGCTCTCTACGCAGCTTACGGATCTAAAAATAAAAACACACACATCAACCATCCAAACGCACCACCAAAACACACCATCACCAAAACACACCACCACCAAAACACACCAAAACAGGCTGAGAATGTTTGACAGGCTGAGAAAGTTTTGTAGGTGTGACAATACAAGGGAAAACTCCCTGATCTACCCTCTGATAGAAAGGGGTTAGGGAAAGGAAGCATCATGTCATGGCTTCATAAAGGAGCACACAGGTGTACACAGGTGTCTGGAACAAGAGCTTGTTGTCACATGATCACCCACAACACAGACATGTGTAACTAGATACAATACTGAATACGCCCCCATGTTCCAACATGTCATATGAATAGAGAAGAATAAGAGAGAGAGAGGAGGCCACCCGAGTGGCACAGCGGTCTAAGGCACCGCATTGCAGTGCTAGAGGCGTCACTACAGACCCGGGTTCGATCCCGGGCTGTATCACAACCAGCCGTGATCGGGAGTCCCATAGGGTGGCGCACAATTGGCCCAGCGTCGTCCGGGTTAGGAGAGGGTTTGGCCGGGGGGGGGCTTTACTTGGCTCATCACGCTCTATCGACTCCTTGTGGCGGGCAGGGCGCCTGCAGGCTGACCTTGGTCGTCAGGTGAACAGTGTTTCCTCCGACACATTGGTGCGGCTGGCTTCCGGGTTAAGACGGCGGGTGTTAAGAAGCGCGGTTTTGCGGGTCATGTTTCGGAGGATGACTCGACCTGGGGAGTTGCAGCGATGTGACAAGATCGAAAAAGGGGGTAAAATACAGAACAAAAAAATTAAAAATAAATATAAGAGAGAGTGAGAGAGAGAGAGAGAGATAAACCAACAAGAAAGAGAGAAGGGAGAAAGAGTGCATTTCTTTACAAAGAAGGTGAAAGTCTTACCTCTGACTGGGATTTCTCTTCAGTCTGTGAAAACAAAAAGAGAATGATTAGATTATCTATTGATTGGAAGAAAGAAAGCAGTGTTATTCAAGCCTGAAAGGGAGGGAGGAGGGAGGGTTGATAGTTGATATACTTCTACAGCACCTGGGGCTAGCAGACTACACCAGACTACACCAGCCCAGCATGGCTTCAGAACACTGTCTTCAGGCTCTGTATATTTTCTCTAGTTCAAACTCCCTGATGATTTTGTAGTTACAGAGACATGGTGATTAGAGATGTCTGGTGTAATGGGTCTGGAAAGCAGAGATCTATGCTCCTGGAGGCGTTTAGAGTGTGTTGGTGGGAGGAGGCAGAGTGTGTGTGTGTGTCTCTCTGCTGAGAGGTATTGTCTCCCTAGACTCCACTCTCAACAATGGTAACACAGGAGAGCTTGGGAAACCACATACACACAAGCACACATACATGGCCTCACGCCCACACACATTTGCACGCATACAGTATAAACTGTATACACACACAATGGCGTACACACAGACCAACCCATCACAAACAGTATAAGACACAATACCCCCCTTTACAGGTATAGATAAAAGTCTCCGCACAGAGAGCCAGTCTGTACATTTTCAAACCAAAACACCATTCTACCCTATTCTGCTCCTACATATCTCGGTATTGTCCACCTGTGATTTATGTGCAGCGTGTGGACGGTTGCTAGGCAGGCCCTGATTTCAACCCAAATAAAGGAACTAGTAGTTGCTGTGTTATTGTGACATAACAAACTTCTATTAGTAATGTTTTTTCCCCTGGTCCCGCCTGTCTGTCTGGCGCTGTAATGTGTTAAGAACAGGTTTGTTTGTTGGAGCTAATCATGGTGTGTGTGTGTGTGTGTGTTTGTGTGTACATGTCTTCCTACTTTATCAGGATCAGAATGTCCTGACAAGTCACCAGAATGTTCTGACAAGGTAGGAAAACAAGAACCATATCCTGAATTTGTTAATATGCTATTTTAGGCTTAAGGGTTAGGTTTAGTGTTAAGGTTAGGGTTAGGGGTTAGGGTTAAGGTTAGATTAAGGGTTAGGTTTAGGGTTAGGGAAAATATGAGTTCTTTATCGTAAAAAAAATGTACTCATCAAAAAGTCCTGAAAATTCACAAAAACAAATCTGTGTGTGTGTGTGTGTGTGTGTGCTTTGTTCCACTCTCATGCACCTGAAGAAGTGTGAGGGGGCGGTGACAAAGTATAACCTGTCAACACAGTGTCTACACACACAAACAGATCTGTCATTCACAGTTGTCTCCTAGACACTGATCTAAGATCAGTTTTGCATTTCCACCCTAATGGTTAAGGTTAGGGTTGAAGCATAAATCAGAGGCAAAACCAAACAATCTAAGACACACAAACAGACCTGTCCTTCATATTCATCCCAGACAAAACACAACTGACAGAAGATCTTTCTCTCGCTGTACCCCAAGTCAATACCAGTTGATCCAAAACACATGATGGAACTTCAATTGCTATAGAATCATTATCCTTCCCACTGAATCATCATTATCTTCATGACAAAAATAATCTCAAAATGGTTGTTGAAAAGAAACAAATCCCCAATCTATCTGAATCTGAATTCCAATATTCAAATTGGAATATTCCTGAGTGCAATCCTCCTCTCCTCTTCCTCCATCCCATCCCTACCGTGCGTACGTCCCAAGCTGTGACCGTTCCTGTCATGGATAAAGTGGCCATCATCTTGACAGCTTCTGTAGCTTCTGTAACTCTCTTCTTTTCTCTTTTCCCTCCTTTTATAAATCTCTCTCTCTCTCTTCTGAGTTATCTGCCACAGATCTGCTCTGTAGTTCCAACTTGTCTGAGAGCTCAGACACCCTCCTTTCCTTTCTTTCTCTCTCTTTCTTCACACAGACCTGCCTCTACACCTGCTTCCAGGAGTGTACCTATCGATGGGTAGGGGAGGGGCCACCCTAATAGAAAAACCCTTTACTGATTGGCTGGGGTGTGTGTGGGCGTGACTGGCCGGATCTGAGTAAGAGCAGCCACGCCTCTATTTCAGGTAAATTATAAAAGTTGCCCCTAGGCACAGATCTAGAATCAGTTTACCATAGCCAAATCCTAACATTAACCATTAGAAAGAGAAACACAAAACTGACATTAGATCAGTGCCAAGCAGAAACTCTATCCTACTCCTCTCTCATATAAAGGACTCTGGTGACGTTTTACCTTTAAAAACTGATTTAAGATAAGCTATCCGATCATCAACATAAATGCATTAGACCAACCTGGCTTGATTAGTGAAGTTGCTGATGGATACAAAGCATGTAGAGGTCTGTAATTTTTATCATAGGTACACTTCAACTGTGAGAGACGGAATCTAAAACAAAAATCCAGAAAATCACATTGTATGATTTTTACATTTTACAATTTTTAAGTAATTAATTTGCATTTTATTGCATGACATAAGTATTTGATACATCAGAAAAGCAGAACTTAATATTTGGTACAGAAACCTCTGGAGAAGGTCTGTATGGAGGAGTGGGCCAAAATCCCTGCTGCAGTGTGTGCAAACCTGGTCAAGACCTACAGGAAACGTATGATCTCTGTAATTGCAAACAAAGGTTTCTTTACCAAATATTAAGTTCTGCTTTTCTGATGTATCAAATACTTATGTCATGCAATAAAATGCAAATGAATTACTTAAAAATCATACAATGTGATTTTCTGGATTTTTGTTTTAGATTCCGTCTCTCACAGTTGAAGTGTACCTATGATAAAAATTACAGACCTCTACATGCTTTGTAAGTAGGAAAACCTGCAAAATCGGCAGTGTACAAATACTTGTTCTCCCCACTGTATTTCTGAGTGGGGTGTTTATATGTGGCATTAATGTGGTATTAAACATTGACTACTACAACTCATTAATAAACATATACAGTACATATTAATAAACATATAGCTACATATACAGTAAAGCAGTGGAGCAGTGGCAGCTCTACAATTAGGGCATTAGGAGCTATATTTCATCTATGAAAATATAAAAAAATATACAATATTTGTACTCACCGTAGAGTAGATAGAGGAGGTACTGGAGACCAGAGACAGGGAGGAGCCGTGAACTGCAGAGACAAAGCCACAGGACATAGAGGGATGAGGCCTCAGTCCTGTACATAACAACACACACTACATCAGGTGCTCTAGTAAACACACACACTCGCACGCACGTTTGTGACCAAACCAAGGAAAAATATGAAAGATCTCTAATCTAGAAAAACTACTGCACACCCTAATACATTTGTGCCATCCCCTTACAAAATCAGAGCCCCGACAATCTCCCTAAGATGCAAATCCCTTCTTTCACCACCCACCTCGCTCCATCCACCAGTCACCCTACCATTATCCACCCCCTCTCACTTGTCCTGACTAGACCAGCCGCCATGGACGTGAAAGTCCTAATAACAGCCCTGTAAAGATAACGCTACCACACACTGCGGTATAATGTGTGTGTTCGTGTGTGTGCATGTATCCTAGTATCCACACAGTACAGTACAGGGTTATGATGGGAGTGACTGTGTGGTGTAACTAATGATAGTCTGGGTATTATCCTAACGACTCAGTCTGATCTTACATCAAAGTCCAGACACAATGCCGTAAGAGCGTTTCCTGCATAGACATACAAGATAATATTGTTCTATTTCATTCGGTGGTTTCCTGTCTACAGGCTAGAAGGATGGGATCAGATAGAGAAGGATTAGGCTATGATGTCATAGAAGAGACCAGGAAGTAGGTCTACGCATGAGAGGTGTTTTCCCTTAGATTATTTTCCGGGTGGGGCGCAAAAGGCCTAAAATATAAGGTGGTGCCCCGCATATGTAATGGTAGGCAAACTGTCCTGAAAGTTCCATTCAGAGAGAGAGTTTCATTTGAATCTGGCGATTTATGAAATCACTGACTTATCCTGTGTGTGTGTGTGTGTGTGTGTGTGTGTGTGTGTGTGGTGTGTGTGTGGGTACACAATAGCTACATTTCTAGGTCAAGTGACACAACATGTAAGTGTGGACATCTCAACATAGGGCAACTTAAACCAAGTGTGCAGGTACACAGTGCCTTCGGAAAGTATTCAGACCCCTTGACTTTTTCCACATTTTGTTACTTTACAGCCTTATTCTAAAATTGATTAAATTGTTTTTTTTTCCCCTTAACAATCTACACACAATACCCCCATAATGACAAAGCAAAAATAGGTTTTTAGAATTTTTTGCTAATTTATATATATATAAAACATTAAAATGCAACAACATTTACATAAGTATTCAGACCCTTTACTCAGTACTTTGTTGAAGCACCTTTGGCAGCGATTACAATATTGAGTCTTCTTGGGTATGACGCTTCAAGCTTGGCACACCTGTATTTGGGGAGTTTCTCCCATTCTTCTCTGCAGATCCTCTCAAGCTCTGTCAGGTTGGTTGGGGAGCATTGCTGCACAGCTATTTTCAGGTCTCTCCAGAGGTTCGATCGGGTTCAAGTCCGGGCTCTGGCTGGACCACTCAAGGACATTCAGAGACTTGTCCCGAAGCCACTCCTGTGTTGTCTTGGCTGTGTGCTTAGTGTCGTTTTCCTGTTGGAAGGTGAACCTTCGCCCCAGTCTGAGGTCCTGAGCACTCTGGAGCAGGTTTTCATCAAGGATCACTCTGTACTTTGTTCCGTTCATGGATGGTGCCAGGTTTCCTCCAGACTTGACGCTTGGCATTCAGGCCAAAGAGTTGAATCTTGGTTTCATCACACCAGAGAATCTTGTTTCTCATGGTATGAGAGTCTTTAGGTGCCTTTTGGCAAACTCCAAGCGGGCTGTCATGTGCCTTTTACTGAGGAGTGGCTTCTGTCTGGCCACTCTACCATAAAGGCCTAATTGGTGGCGTGCTGCAGAGATGGTTGTCCTTCTGGAAGGTTCTCCCATCTCCACAGAGGAACTCTAGAGCTCTGTCAGAGTGACCATCGGGTTCTTGGTCACCTCCCCGACCAAGGCCCATCTCCCCCGATTGCTCAGTTTGGCCGGACGGCCAGCTCTAGGAAGAGTCTTGGTGGTTCCAAACTTCTTCCATTTAAGAATTTAAGACCTTCAATGCTGCAGAAATGTTTTGGTACCCTTTCCCAGATCTGTGCCTCGACACAATCCTGTCTCGGAGCTCTACGGATAATTCCTTCGACCTCATGGCTTGGTTTTTGCTCTGACATGCACTGTCAACTGTGGGACCTTATATAGACAGGTGTGTGCCTTTCCAAATCATGTCCAATCAATTGAATTTACCACAGGTGGACTCCAATCAAGTTGTAGAAACATCTCAAGGATGATCAATGGAAACAGGATGCACCTGAGTTCAATTTCGAGTCTCATAGCAAAGGGTCTGAATACTTATGTAAATAAGGTATTTCTGTTTTTTATTCTTAATACATTTGCAAAAAATTCTAAAAACCTGTTTTCGCTTTGTCATTTTGGGGTATTGTGTGTAGATTGCTGAGGATTTGTATTTATTTAATCTATTTTAGAATAAGGCTGTAACGTACAGTGAGGGAAAAAAGTATTTGATCCCCTGCTGATTTTGTACGTTTGCCCACTGACAAAGAAATGATCAGTCTATAATTTTAATGGTAGGTTTATTTGAACAGTGAGAGACAGAATAACAACAACAAAATCCAGAAAAACGCATGTCAAAAATGTTATAAATTGGTTTGCATTTTAATGAGGGAAATAAGTATTTGACCCCCTCTCAATCAGAAAGATTTCTGGCTCCCAGGTGTCTTTTATACAGGTAACGAGCTGAGATTAGGAGCACACTCTTAAAGGGAGTGCTCCTAATCTCAGCTTGTTACCTGTATAAAAGACACCTGTCCACAGAAGCAATCAATCATTCAGATTCCAAACTCTCCACCATGGCCAAGACCAAAGAGCTCTCCAAGGATGTCAGGGACAGGATTGTAGACCTACACAAGGCTGGAATGGGCTACAAGACCATCGCCAAGCAGCTTGGTGAGAAGGTGACAACAGTTGGTGCGATTATTCGCAAATGGAAGAAACTAAAAATAACTGTCAATCTCCCTCGGCCTGGGGCTCCATGCAAGATCTCACCTCGTGGAGTTGCAATGATCATGAGAACGGTGAGGAATCAGCCCAGAACTACACGGGAGGATCTTGTCAATGATCTCAAGGCAGCTGGGACCATAGTCACCAAGAAAACAATTGGTAACACACTACGCCGCGAAGGACTGAAATCCTGCAGCGCCCGCAAGGTCCCCCTGCTCAAGAAAGCACATATACAGGCCCGTCTGAAGTTTGCCAATGAACATCTGAATGATTCAGAGGAGAACTGGGTGAAAGTGTTGTGGTCAGATGACACCAAAATCGAGCTCTTTGGCATCAACTCAACTCACTGTGTTTGGAGGAGGGGGAATGCTGCCTATGACCCCAAGAACACCATCCCCACCGTCAAACATGGAGGATGAAACATTATGCTTTGGGGGTGTTTTTCTGCTAAGGGGACAGGACAACATCACCGCATCAAAGGGACGATGGACGGGGCCATGTACCGTCAAATCTTGGGTGAGAACCTCCTTCCCTCAGCCAGGGCATTGAAAATGGGTCGTGGATGGGTATTCCAGCATGACAATGACCCAAAACACACAGCCAAGGCAACAAAGGAGTTGCTGAAGAAGAAGCCCATTAAGGTCCTGGAGTGGCCTAGCCAGTCTCCAGACCTTAATCCCATAGAAAATCTGTGGAAGGAGCTGAAGGTTCGAGTTGCCAAACATCAGTCTCGAAACCTTAATGACTTGAAGAAGATCTGCAAAGAGGAGTGGGACAAAATCCCTCCTGAGATGTGTGCAAACCTGGTGGCCAACTACAAGAAACGTCTGATCTCTGTGATTGCCAACAAGGGTTTTGCCACCAAGTACTAAGTCATGTTTTGCAGAGGGGTCAAATACTTATTTCCCTCATTAAAATGCAAATCAATTTATAACATTTTTGACATGCGTTTTTCTGGATTTTGTTGTTGTTATTATGTCTCTCACTGTTCAAATAAACCTACCATTAAAATTATAGACTGATCATACAAAATCAGCAGGGGATCAAATACTTTTTTCCCTCACTGTAACAAAATGTGGAAAAAGTCAAGGGGTCTGAGTACATTCCGAAGACACTGTATATGCCCCAGTCCACATTTAATAACACTAAAGTAACCTTATACCAGGAAAACATATGAACAAACACACACATAACACACTAATATGAACACACAGACACACACACAGTAATCACGCACAACACACACACGGTTTCCTGCATGTCCTCATGTTTCTTGATTAGAAAGACCCTGTAATTATCCAGTTTTTTTAACCCTGGAGGGAAGAAGGGAATTGGGAAGAGAGGAGCAAAAAGAGAGAGCAAGAGCACAACAGAGGATAAAACAGTGGCACTGGAGGGCCTATATAATAATGTTTTGTGTGAGGATAGTCTTAATTCTCTCTCTCTCTCTCTCTCTCTCTCTCTCATGGCGATTTTACACTATAATACAATAGAGACCCATGCACCAAAGTATTTGTGTGTATACACACACATGCATGCATGTCTGCACCTAGAAATGTAGCGCTTGTGTACCCCACACACACACACACACACACACACACACACACACACACACACACACACACACACACACACACACACAGGAAAAGACAGCATGCAGACTACAAAGAGAGGAGGAGATGATGAGAGCAGCAGTGAATCCTGTACTCCCCCAGTGGCCGTCTCTTGTTAGAACTGCCATAGTGTCTTATGAGGACCATGTGTCTTAGCAGGACTATGGTGCTTATGAGGCCCCAGGAAGCTTAAAGACAACGCTGAGCTTATTTCCTATGAGACATGGCTGGGTTTATCCTCCAGCCTCTATCTCTCTATCTCTGTCTCTCTCCCCCTCCCCCAAAGCTTTTCCCAGGTTAACACACACAAGTACGCTCGCTCGCTCGCACACACACACACACTCACACCAACTGAGAGTAAACAGATCCCTCTCTCTCTCATTCTCTGTAGTTCTCTCTCAGACTAGATTTGTCCCTCTGAAAAGAAGTGCACTTGTTTTCTTGGTCTTGGTGATGGGAAGAAAGGGTCAAATCTGCATGTGTTATATTGGCATTGAACAAAACTAGTTTATGGGAGAAAAAAAAATAAGCCAGGAAGATAATTGGGCTACAAAAGCAAGCAGGGATAGAGGTGGAGATACGGGGAGGGAATTGAGTAAAACATATTAAAAGAAAGAGAGAAAGAGTAATGTTGAGATAAAATAGTAAGAGAAAGTGGATAGATTTGAAGGTTTATGTATCCATCTAAGGATTGAAGATTTTATCATGAGTAATCAACTCTCTATCTTAAAAAAAAAACATTTTAGTCATTTAGCAGACGCTCTTATCCAGAGCGACTTACAGTTAGTGAATGCATACATGTTTTGTTTTTTTCATACTGGCCCCCCGTGGGAAATGAACCCACATCCCTGCCGGCCAAACCCTCCCCTACCTTGGACGACGCTGGACCAATTGTGCGCCGCCCATGGGTCTCCCGGTCGCGGCCGGCTGCGACAGAGCCTGGACTCGAACCAGGATCTTTAGTGGCACAGCTTGCACTTGTCGCTTCCCTCACTCCCTCCTTCTTCTCTCTTTACTCACCCTCCTCAAAGCCATCTCTGAAGGAACCAGAGCGGCTCATGGTGCGAGTCTTCTCGTCCAATGACACGCAGGAGTTCCTCAGGCGGGTGTCACCACAGGGTTCAAAGGTGATGTCCTGATTGATCAGACTATTGTTCCGGAGGCTGGCCAGGTTTATCTGAGCAGCTGTGGTGGGGCTGCCCGCTGCAAGGGACACAACTATACAGGTCATTTGATATACAGACCCCTTTACTTTTTCCACATTTTGTTAGGTTACAGCCTTATTCTAAAATTGATTAAATTGTTTTCCCCCCTCATCAATCTACACACAATACCCCATAATGACAAAGCAAAAACTGGTTTTAAGAATGTTTTGCAAATTAAAAAATATGACAAAAATATGACATTTACGCAAATATTCAGAATTTGTTGATTGCAGCCTCGAGTCTTACATTTACATTTTACATTTTAGTCATTTAGCAGACGCTCTTATCCAGAGCGACTTACAGTTAGTGAATACATTTTATTTTATTTTTTTCATACTGGTCCCCCGTGGGAATCGAACCCACAACCCTGGCGTTGCAAACGCCATGCTCTATCAACTGAACTACATCCCTGCCGGCCATTCCCTCCCCTACCCTGGACAACGCTAGGCCAATTGTGCGCTGCCCATGAGTCTCCCGGTCACGGCCGGCTGCGACAGAGCCTGGATTCGAACCAGGATCTCTAGTGGCACAGCTAGCACTGCGATGCAGTGCCTTAGACCACTGCGCCATACTCTTCTTGGGTATGACACTACAAGCTTGGCACACCTGTATTTGGGGAGTTCCTCCCATTATTTTCTGCAGATCCTCTCAAGCTCTGTCAGGTTGGATAGGGAGCGTTGCTGCAAAGCTATTTTCAGGTCTCTACAGAGATGTTAGTTCGGGTTCAATTCCGGGCTCTGGCTGGGCCACTCAAGGACATTCAGAGACTTGTCCCGAAGCCACCCCTGTGTGCTTAGTGTCGTTGTCCTGTTGGAAGGTGAACCTTCGCCCCCAGTCTGAGGTCCTGAGCACTCTGGAGCAGGTTTTCATCAAGGATCGCTCTGTACTTTGCTCCGTTCATCTTTGCCTCGATCCTGACTAGTCTCCCAGTCCCTGCTGCTGAAGAACATCCCCACAGCATGATGCTGCCACCACCATGCTTCACCGTAGGGTTGGTGACAGGTTTCCTCCAGACGTGACGCTTGGAATTCAGGCCAAAGAGTTGAATCTGGGTTTCATCAGACCACAGAATCTTGTTTCTCATGGTCTGAGAGTCTTTAGGTGCCTTTTGGCAAACTCCAAGCGGGCTGTCATGTGCCTTTTACTGAGGAGTGGCTTTCGTCCGGCCACTCTACCATAAAGGCCTGATTGGTGGAGTGCTGCAGAGATGGTTGTCCATCTGGAAGGTTATTCCATCTCCACAGAGGAACTCTAGAGTTCTGTCAGAGTGACCATCGGGTTCTTGGTCACCTCCCTGACCAAGGCCCTTCTCCCACAATTGTTCAGTTTGGCCGGGCGGCCAGCTCTAGGAAGAGTCTTGGTGGTTCCAAACTTCTTCCATTTAAGAATGATGGAGGCCACTGTGTTCTTGGGAACCTTCAATGCTGCAGAAATGTTTTGGTACCATTCCCCAGATCTGTGCCTCGACACAATCCTGTCTCGGAGCTCTACTGACAATTCCTTCGACCTCATGGCTTGGTTTTTGCTCTGACATGCACTGTCAACTGTGGGACCTTATATAGACAGGTGTGTGCCTTTCCAAATCATGTCCAATCAATTGAATTTACCACAGGTGGACTCCAATCAAGTTGTAGAAACATCTCAAGGATGATCAATGGAAACAGGATGCACCTGAGCTCAATTGAGTCTCATAGCAAAGGGTCTGAATACTTATGTAAACAAGGTATTTCAGTTTTTTATTTTTAATACATTTGCAAAAATTTCAAAAAACCTGTTTTCGCTTTGTCATTATGGGGTATTGTGTGTAGATTGCTGATTAAAAAAATAATATGTAATCAATTTTAGAATAAGGCTGTAACGTAACAAAATGTGGAAAAAGTCTGAATACTTTCTGAAGGCACTGTATACACATACACACACACAAGTACAGTGGCTTGTAAGGTGTTTATAGGTCATACCGAGCTGTCCGAAGTTGAAGCGTGTCCCTGAGGGTGAGGTGAGGCTTGACCCAGGTGAGAAGGGAGAGTTACTGGTCGAGTCCTGCAGCCCGCCCTGAGAATGGAAGCGCAGCCAATCACGCGCAGCCTCCTCATGACCTCGCAGCTGGGGCGATGGGGCGTACCTGCAGTGCCAAACACACAAGGGTCAGAGGTTATATGTTGGTGGGTAAAGGTTATGAGAGTAGTGTGCAAACTGGTGCGGTTGTTACATTCTGATTTAATCATTACCAGGCAGAACTTGATTTATCATATGGTGATTCTATTTTTACCAAGAGCAACTGATTATTATGTCCCAAGTACATTTCACATAATGTCCAAGCACTTTTCTTCAACCCAGAGCAACACACAAATCAAGGGGACAGTCAACAGAAATCCAAAACGCTGCCCAAGCGAATTCCAAAACGGTGCACAAAATCAAAGTGCGTATGACGTGACACCATGACACCTCTGCACACACAGTAGTGACAGGTGACATGCCTTAACACTGAAGCGCAACACAACATTGTGCCAAGAGCAAAAAAAGAATAACTACAACAACACCAGCATTGCGTGAGCTCAAGCTGTGAGAGAGGGAAAGTGAGAGAGAGAGAGGGAGGGTGCTAAGCATGGCAGACAGTGCCTGAGAGGTCATACAGTAGGTACCTGAGTCCCTTCTTGGGCAGAGTGTTTCTATCACTGTGTGGACCCCTGTGGGATCAGCAAAGAAAAACACTTCAGGGAGAGGAAAAGAATGGAGGAGAGGAAAGGAGGAATGTGGATAGTGCACTATCTAGCTATTGCAATTGTAAAAATATATATATGCCATCGCTTTTCTGGAAAATATATTTTGTGACAACACATCTTAGTATAGTGTCATGTCATAGCAGTGATGGTTGTTTTTAAATATCAGGGTCCAAGTCTAAGTTTCGCCACAAGATGGCAGCATATAAACAGCGATAGCGGACTGAGAGCAAGCGCTGTAAGGGGAACGAAAGCCTGCAACAACACAGCACACTCACACACACACACACACACCGCCACAAAGGAGAAGCCCCACACACAAGCACTTTTACCTGTCCTGTTTCCGAGGTAAGGTGTTTCGGTTGAATTTAGGGCTAGCGGAGGGGGAGGACAGGGGGCTGATGGGAAGGGGGGGGGGGGACACACAACAGACAAAGAGAGAAAGAACTTCAGAAATAAAAGTGAGGGAGAATAATCCTCTGAAGGAGAGAGCCACATTGAGTCCAACCGTTGCAACAAGCAAAATCACCACCACCAGCTCAACAATGAATATCATCTACTAGTCTAGTAAGCAAAGATAATGAGATGTGTCAGAGAAGGTAACACCAGAATAGATCTCAAATGACATAGCATTAAGGCATACCTTAAACAATGCTTTCCATTGAGATGCTTGCATAATATCTCTGGTGATAATATGGCTGACACATTCCGGTCACATACACATTCATGTATGCAGGAATACACTGAACAAACACAATATGACAGTGCTATGGCAACATCTGACAGGTTCCTTGTTTTTCTGTCCATATAAAGATATAATGACCAAGATCAGAGCAGATTCCCAACTTCCCCCAACATCCCACTATTACCACTCAAACCCTCCCTCCCTCCTTCCTTCCATTCCCCTGTCCTCACCTCTCAGACATGCCCGTCTTGATGCTGCTGGTCCTGCCCAGGGCTGAGAGGGTGTCCTCCCTGCTGTCCCTTCCTCCATGCCCGGCGCTGCTCACGCTCATGTCGATGGACTCGCTGCTGGTGTGCATGCTGCTGACCGAGGGGTAGCCCAGGCTTCCCGCCCCACCACCGTGCCCACTGTGCCCACCCAGGGTACCCTCCCTGCTCTGGGCAGAGGAGCCAGTGCTCATGGTGGTGCCCCACGTCAGGCTGTTGGAGGGCCCCGTGGAGGAGTAGACAGAGCCGGGGCTGGACGCACTCTGGGGGACACAGGAGAAATGATGGATTTATCAAGTGATTTTCATATGTTATGCTTAGTGGTTATGCTTCCACTCGCCAAGGTCAAATCATATATCTGCTGCACTCTTAGTGTTCTTCATATTATGATCTGCTGTTGCTAGCTACACGGTTGCTTGCTATCATAGCCAACTATTTTATCACAAGGCTACCTATCGTGATCGGTGCTGGTAGCTAAAGTTGGCTATTTTCTTGTTTGTGCAAGTATAAACTGTTCATGGACACAGATGCTTATCAAGAGGCTGCAAAGATATTGCCAGCTCATGTCATATGGTTAGTCTGCCTATCTTACCTGTTCGCTACCCAGCGTGCTATGGCCCGTGCTCAGGTTTCGTCCTCCGTACAGGGGGCTGCTGCCCTCGGTCTCCCCCCCTACACCTCCAGGGGAGTCCAGGGCAGCATGGGTAGCGTGAGGGTTGGAGATCACCGTCGAGTTCTTCATGTTCTCTGCTGTGGTGACCGGAGCCTGCTTACTGGGCTTACCACCAAACAACCTGGAGAGAGATGGAGAGGGAGAAGAGAAGGAGAAAGTTGAAAAGGAGAATATATAAAAATATTTACCCTACCTCTTCAAAGAGTATCTTAAATAATCCCACAGCACCACCCCCCCAGCAAAAAAGCCTTTCGTGAACTAACACTCAAACGTCTAGGAGCAAAAACGACTCAGCCGCGAAGTGGTAGGCCACACAAGCTCACAGAACGGGACCACCGAGAACTGAAGCAAGTAAAAATCGCCTGTCCTCGTTTGCAACACTCACTACTGAGTTCCAAACTGCCTCAGGAAGCAACATCAGCACAAGAACTGTTCGTCAGGAGCTTCATAAAATGGGTTTTCCATGGCTGAGCAGCCGCACACAAGCCTAAGATCACCATGTGCAAAGCCAAGCGTCAGCTGGAGTGGTGTAAAGCTTGCCGCCATTGGGGGCATTGTCATGCTGACATAGGAAAGGGCCTTCCCCAAACTGTTGCGAAAAAGTTGGAAGCACAGAATTGTCTAGAATGTCATTGTATGCTGTAGTGTTAAGATTTCCCTTCACTGGAACTAAGGGGCCTAGCCCGAACCATGAAAAACAGCCCCAGACCATTTTTCCTCCTTCACCACACTTTACAGTTGGCACTATGCATTGGAGCAGTGGAAATGCGTTCTCTGGAGTGATGAATCATGCTTCACCATCTGGTAGTCTGGGTTTTGGCAGATGCCAGGAGAACGCTACCTGCCCCAATGCATAGTGCCAACTGTAAAGTTTGGTGGAGGAGGAATAATGGTCTGGGATTGTTTTTCATGGTTCGGGCTAGGCCCCTTAGTTCCAGTGAAGGGAAATCTTAACGCTACAGAATACAATGACATTATTGACGATTCTGTGCTTACAACTTTGGTCCCACCTAGCTATCTTAAGATGAATGCACTAACTGTAAGTTGCTCTGGATAAGAGCGTCTGCTAAATGACTAAAATGTAAATGCAAACAATGTAGGTAGACAGACACACACACACACACAGAGAGAGATATGAAACATGTAGAGTATTATAAACACATTTCTGTTTTAAAGTAATTTCTAGTAACCACCCCTATTGCACACTATTGAGTAAAAGCTTGGAGGATTATATCTAAGTAACTTTGAAACCTACATTAGCATACCCCATTACTTTAAGCTAAAGGACAATGGCTACGTCCCAAATGGCAGCCTAATCCTTATTTAGTGCGCTACATTTGTAATAGGGTCCCATTTGGGACATAACCAGAGTGTGTTGACTGTTAAGACGGTAGCCAGGGTGATAATATAGAGCAGGATCTTCAAAGCCTTATTACCCATAGAGATTAATGAGCCAGCCCAGCGGTGAGCGGTAAGACTCTGCTCGTGTTACTGTGCACATATAAAGACTATGAAAAGCGTGGGCTCAGACCTGGCAGCTGAACAGAAATGCTGAAGGGATAGTTTTCATACAGTGGACTGACATGACCTTTGTGTATGGATGTAAATGTGTGTGTTGCATTGCACTAGGAATAGGTTTCAGACACTGTACTGTACTGTAAATGGGTGTCATTAATGACCACGTTTAAGTGTGAGTGATATTATATCTCTGCATGTGAGTGTGAGTGTGTGAGTCTGTTCACCTGCGCAGTGTGGGTGAGGCAACCTGCTGTCTCCCTGTGAGAGGGACAGTGGAAGCCCCTCCCCTCAGGTTGTCCACGCCCTCTGACACGCCCTTCTCTCGGTCCGTCTGATTGGCTAGCGAGACCCCAGTCCCACTTCCATTAATTTTTCCAGTGTTCCCCATGTCTCTGCTTTTACTATGAGTGGTAACGGAAAGCACGGCCGCCTCGATGCTGCTGGTCGACGACCGGTTTCCGTTACGCGCGGTGGCGCCGGACCGGCTGGGTCTTGGAAGGCTCCGGTACTGCAGTGTGGAGCGGGCGCTCACCGAGAGGTTCCCATCGTCATGGTGACCTAGACCGGAACCCACATCTTGACCTCCGACCTTTATCCCACCGGCTAGGGATCTCGTCCCTGACTTGGGCATCTTCCCAAGAGTCGCTGACCCGCTCGTGATGGTGGCGCCACTGGCGGTAACCATAGTAACCATCCCGGAACTCTGCTTCTTGAAGCCAAATGTGCTGGTGGGGGTGCGGGAGGTGAGTGTGTGTGACTGGGATTGGGGTTCAGACAGGGCGTGTGTGAGGGTGTGTGTGTGTGATGTGCGGGTGGAGGTAGCGGTGGAGGTGGAGGAGGGTGTGTGTTTCTTGGCCTCGTCGTCACTGCTGCGTCCGGCTTCGGAGGGCGAGCGGTGGAGGCCGTTGGAGCGAGGCGAGAGACGGCCCTTCTCAGACACCTTGATGTCGTCTGTTTTACCTACACGTACACAGGATGGGACATACAGCAGGGGTTAAGGTCAGAGGAGAGTTTGTCATAGTTGTGGTGTTTCATAGGGTTAATGACTCAAGATTCAGACCACAAGAGAGAAAATGACACATAGAGACACACACAGAGGGAGAGAGGGACACACATAGAAGAGAGGGAGACATACTGATACAGTGCATACTGTACAAACACATACACACAGATTTACACAGATGGACCGACGGACAGACAGACATAAGGAGAGACATTGCCAAAGAGGAAGAAACAAGAGCACACATAGAAACACACATGCAATCGCAAACGAGACAAATACAGAGACAGCGAAACACTGCCAGGACAGAAAACACCCATACCTGTGCTGTGTGTCTTTATCACAGTGGAGCCTGATGTTCCAGTAGCTTTAGTCCTGGGGCTGGTCACCCCCACCTGAGCGCTCATGCCCCTCCTCCAGGACCCTGTGTGTGTCATAGAGGGAGTCTTCCGCCCCGAGCCCACCTTATCCGACTCGTCAGACACGTCCGAGGGGTTCCGGCGGGCCCACTTGGAGCCCTGGTCCATCCTGCTGACCCCGCTGTCCGACACCCCGTCTGACCTCTTGACCTCGTCACCTGACCAGGCGGGGTTCAGGGTGGTGGAGGCCGAGTGCTTCTCAGCGTCCGTCACAGGCTGGGGACACAGAGGATGAGAGAAGAGGGGAGTTATGATCTATTTTATGGTGCTGTGGCACGGAATATATGGGAATAAAATGACCGGCTTATCGGGTTGAAGTTAGTCACTTCCATTTGTGCCTATAGGGCCGTGTTGATAGTGGCATGATAGTATACTGATTGTGGACAAAATCAGAAAGCTCTTTGGGGCCTACCATAAGGGAAGCCGTACTCAGCATACAATAACCTCAGCACTCTAGGGATCCAATATGGAGACAGTATCCATGGAAACAGACTGTATTAACCTAGTGTTGGGTCAAAGGTCAAGTAATACTGGGAGAATATGGTCTTTGTACAGCCTTTGTTATCCTACATAAAATAACCACTATATTAAATGAGTGTTATTGTATAGTGTGTGTATGTTATCCAGACATCCAACCCCTTCCCAAAGCCACCCAAAACCAGCTGAGAGTACTATCACTTCTCACACAGTTTTTCTAAGGTGGCTTCTTAAAATTGGTATTTAATGACTTGAGGCCAGTTCAAACATTAACATTAGTCTAGTCAGTTCACAGGTCTGTCACCCAGAGCAATACTATAGGCTCATATTCCCCTCCAAACTGTGAGGAATGTCAATATCATTAACACACTCGGAGCTAAGGGGGAGAGAAGGGAAGGGGGAGAGCAGAAAGAGGGGGAGAGGTGGGAGTGTGAGACTGTACTTGAGAGTCTATTTGTGTGTCTATTCAGAGCCTGGGGCTATATTTGTGTGTGTGTGTATGCTTGTGTGTGTCTGTGTGTGTGTGTGCATGCGTGTGTGTGTCTGTGTGTGTGTGCATGCGTGTGTGTGTGTGTGTCTAGCCTCCACACCGACCTGTCCGTTGAGGGCCTTGCGCTGTGCGGCCGGTGTGTTGGCGTAGGAGCTGATGGAAGAGCTGGTGTTGATGTCATCTGTGTCGATGGTGTCACTGATGCCACTGCTCACAGAGCTGCTGTCATCCCAACTGGAGAGAAAAGGGAAAAAGAGAGGGAAAGATAGGTTTAATTAAACAACACGATTTTAACCAGGATAAATGGAGGAGGGAGGAGAGGTGTTATGCCAACCACAACAAAGAGAAGAGGCAAGGACATACCCAAAAGGGATTGGTTTTAAAAAAGAAGATCTTACAAAATGTGCCTTTAAACAGATAGCTCATTTGTAAACAGAGTTTAACGAGGGTTCAGTGTGTGGTTGAATGGATGCAACCTAACTGGACTCTCCACTAAATCAGTATTACATGTTCTACTTCAGAGCCTTTATTTTATTTCCAGCCGTGGAATCGGCTGAATATTGTGAATATTTCACATTGCATTACCATACCTCTATGGAGCAACACATACGCTAAACCAGGGCTCTCCAACCCGGTTCCTGGAGAGCCACAGTCCTGTAGGTTTTCCCTCCAACCCTAATCCAGCACACCTGTGTCTAATAATGATCTGGTTGATCAACTGAATCAGGTTAGATACAACTGGGGTTGGAGCGAAAACCTACAGGAGGGTAGCTCTCCAGGAACAGGGTTGAAAGCGCTGCTCTAGACAGTAGACAGCAATGTATCATTCATTCTGGCTCTGAATTTGAATCTCCTTACAGTGTAGACAACCTACTAGCCTAGCTAAAGCTCTGTGACTGTACAAGCTGGCTGTTGAACCCACAGAGATAGGAGGGATATTTTATGTATGAGCGTAATCCTGATTGAATGGGTGAAAACACACAGTCTCTCTCTGCACCAGGGAGAAAAGCCCTGTTAAGAGGCATGGTGAATTTATGACACGGCTCACAGCCAGGCAGCAGCATAAAGCCCCAAGCTGCCTGGAAATCTCAGTCTCACACACACACTGACTGGAGCTGTCCATCAAACACAAAGGAGGAGACTAACCTTGAACAGGAAGGTTCTACAACACACACACAGACAGACAGACACACACATTGTCCACACACCAGTCTTTAACCCCACTTTGAACAATTATACTGGCTATGTTTGTCTTTCCCCAACCCTGGGGGCGAAGGGGGGACGGGGGCAGGGTGAGAGGGGGGTGAAACCAGCAAGAGAGACTAGAGTGATCTCTAGGGAGACTATGGATGAGACAGGACAAACATCATTCTGAAAGGACCACAGGGAGGGAAAAGAGTTAAAAGCAGGCTTGACAACTATTGAGCACATGCACAAGCGCGCGTGCACACACAAACACACACACACACACACACACACACACACACACACACACACACACAGACACACACAGACACACAGCTGCTATTGTATCCTGGTGTTTGGATTAGAGTCATCCAGGGACAGATCCATCACCTCTAATGAGACAGACACACAGAAATACATCAGCGTGTCCTCACTGATTTTGGCTATAAGCCAGGAAGCATCTATCCTCATCTGCAGACAGGTTGATGTCATGAATCATACTTCAAACACACACACCCCTTTACAACATACTGGGGGATCTCACATTAACACACTCTCATCATACAGATCTGATATCTATCACAAGCACTGCAATCTGTATCTTAAGCTCTGAGGCTCGGCTGCTTTGTAGTTGCCTTAAACCCACAGTATATCTGCGCTTGACAGGACTGCAGACAGACAGAGCTAACTGGTGAGAGATTTAGACTGACCACAGCCGTCTAAACATGTTCACACAGCCACATGGGGGAAAGTCCCCCACACACAGAGAGAGCGAGAGGAGAGAGAGAGAGAGTAAAACATCACAGACCAACTGAGGATCGAAAGTTCTTGTCCATATTTAAAATCTAGTATCCTTCTGAAGACGTAGAATACCCCAACTATCACACACACTCTCTTTACCTGGCCAGAGTCCCTTGGATGCCGTGGGAACCTGAAGCGTGGGGGAGAATGCCGAGTTGGACAGAGAGCTTCATGAGTCCATACCGCTGAGTTACACACTGAGCTAACAATCTCTCTCTCGTTCTGCTTCTCTAACTCTACCCCTCTCCTTCTGCCAGTCTCAGTCTCTCTTTGTGTCTACCTCCTCCCTCCCACTCCGCCTTTATTCCTTCCTCACTCTGACACTTTCTGTGTTTTTGACTGTGTCTCCTGCACTCATCACCCCTCCCTCCTTCTCCCTCTTTCTCTCTCCTGTCGCCTCATCTCGTCTTGCTTATCCCCCCGTCTCTCTTTCTCTCTGGACTGAGTGAGGGAACCGTGAAAGAGAGAGAGAGAGAGAGTGTTCTCCCCTGGTGCTTGTAACCTGATCTTCCCCAACCCCAGTTAACCAGTTCACTGCTACAGCTGAACCAATACATCACAGCATAAGACAGACTCTCCCAATAAGACCTTCCCAAATCCTATGGAACCAAATAAGCATCTCAAATGACAACAACAGTAGAAGCAGGTTTAAAAATTATGTCCCCCCCCCCCCCCCCCCCCCCCCCCCCCCCCCCTGAGATATGAGTGCATCCAGCAAACATAGCCACAATGCAGATCAGACTGAGCGGAACTGTGACAGACCTCAACTGGGGGAACATGCTGAGAGACAGACATTATTCCTTAGGAATTTTGATGACTGGAGAGAGATGACTAACCCAAAACTCAAACCCTTTTTTTTTGGGTTTTTTCCCGGGGGGCAAAAAAACCCCTTTTGTCCTAAACCCCAAAAAAAAAAATCACAGGGCCTTTTTATAAAAACCCCAAATTAAACCCCCAAAAGGGCCAAAAACAAAAAACCCAAAAACTAAAGGGAAAAAACCCCCAAAACAATCTAACAAAAAACCCCCCCAACTTTTTTTTTTAAAAAAAAATTTATCCAAAACCGAATTGGGGGAAACCGAAGCTTTCTTTAAATTTGGGGGAACCCCTCAAACCCCTTTTTGGCCCCCAAAAACCCCCCCCCAAAAAAAAAAAAAAACCCCCCCCCCCCCCCCCCCCCCCCTTTGGAACTCTTCTAACCTTATTTTTTATTGGAAGAAAAAAGGATTTTTTTGGGCAACTTCTTAAACAGACCTCCTGTTTAGTTTAAAATAAGAAAGGAAATTCATAGATTTAATGACAAAATTAAAAAAAAACACCTTTTTAGTTTTGAAAAGACAAAGAAGAACCAAATCAACATACATCACAAGTCCCACAAATTCAGAAGTTAAACCATAAAGGGGGTGGCGGGAAAAAATGGGGAAAAGGGGGGAAAAGAGAAGGACAAGGGGAAAAAGGGGAAGGGGAAATAAATAAGGAAGAGAATAGGGAGGAGAAGGGAAAAACAAGGGGAAAAAGATGGAAGAGTAGGGGAGAGAAAAGAAAGGGAGAAGGGGAGGAGTGGGGAGATACATAGGTTGGAATGGGAAGAAAAGAGAGGAAAGTGGGAGAAGGGAAGAAGTAGGGGAAAGTGGATAGGGGTGAGAAAGGGGAAAAAGTGGGGAGGGAAGAGAGAAGAAAGGAGGAGAGAAAAAAGGGAAAGAATGAAAGTAGGGAGAGAGAGGAGGGGGAAGTGGGAAAAGGGGGAGAGGGGGAGGGGGGAGAGGAAAGGGGGGAGAAAGGAGAAGAGGGAGAGAGGGGGAGGGAAGGGAAAAGAGGTAGGGGGGAGAGAGGGGAGAAGAGGAGGGAGAGGGGAAGAGGGGGGGGAGGGGGGGAAGTAGGGGAGAGAGGGAGAGAGAGGGGAGAGGAAAAGGAGAAAGGGGGAGGAGGAAATGGGAACATAGGGAGAGAGATGGAATAAGAGAGGGGGGGGGGGGGGGGGGGAGACGAGGGAGAGAGAGATGGAGAGGACATAGGGGAAATGGGAGAGGTAGGAAGGAGGAGAGAGAAGAAAAAAAAGGGAAAAAAAGGGGGGGGGGGGGGTTTTTTTTTTTTTTCAAAAGGGGGAAGAAAGGGGGGGAAAAAACCCGGGGAAAAAAAAAGAAAAGGAAATGGGGGTGGGGGGGAAGGGGGGGTTGGGGGAAAAAAAAGGGGCAAAAGGGGGGGGGGGGAAAAGGGGGGAGGGGAAAAAGGGCCCCTAGGGGGAAACCGGAGGTTTCCCCAAAAAGGTGGGGGGTGAAAAAAAAAACCCCCCAAAAGGGGGAAAAATGGGGGGGAAAAATTAGAGGGGGGTAAGATCCCCCAGCAAGGGGAGGTGGGGGAAAGGCCCCCGGGGGGGGAAAAAGGGGAAGGGAGGGAGAGAGGAGAGGGGAGAAGATGGGGGGGGAAGAATGGAGGAAATTTTGGGTAGAGAGATGGGGAGATAGTGGGGAGAGAGAGGAGAGAGAACTGGGGAGAGAGAGAGGGAGAGATAGGGGGGAGAAGATGATGAAGAGGTAGGGGGAGAGAGAGAGGACAGAGTTTTGGGAAGAATGGGAGACGTAGGGGAGAGAGATGGGAGAGAAAGAAGGGAAGATATGGGAGGAAAAGGAGAGACATTGGGAGAAGAGAGAGAGAGGAGAGACGTAGGGGGGAGGGGGGAGATGGGGGAGAGGAGAGGAGACAGTAGGGGAGAGAGTGGAGAGAGAGAGAGGGAGAGAGAGGGGAGAGGGAGGGGAGAGGGGAGAGAGAGGGGGGGGAGAAGATGGAGAGAGAAGTAGGGGGAGAGAGAGAGGGAGAGACAGTGGGGAGGAGAGAGAAGAGGGGAGAGAAATAAAATAGAAGAGTTATGGGGGGAGAGAGATGGAAAAGACAGTAGGGAGGGAGAGAATAAGAAAGAGAACAGGTAGGCCAAAATTGAGGCCCCAATTTAAGGGCACTTTAAAGCCCCAGCGCCCCAGCCGAGGAAGGGGAAGGAAATGGCGGGGAGAGATTTTGGGGAGAAAGAAAAAACCCAAGAGACCTGGGATTTTTCCTTTTTCCCTCCAGACCCCAAAGGCCCTTTTTTGCCCGGGGTGGGAGGTCCCGTTTAAATTAAACCCGATCTGCCAAAGATCGGGAGGGTGGACCACCCCGGGAATTCCCCCAACTTGGTTTTCCCCGCGAACCCCCCAGGAGAAGGGGGAAAATTTTAGGCCCAACCCGAGGGGAATGACGGGGCAAAAGGGGGGGGAAATTTTTCGGGGGGGAAAGACACCTTCGGAAGAGGAAAGGAGAGGGGCCTGAGGAGACGCTTAAAGGGAACTGACCGACAGGGGCCCGGTGGACCCCGGGGAAGGGGGAAAGGGGACGAAGGGGGGGGGCGAGAGGAGGAGAGAGAGGAGGAGGAGAGGAGCGAGGGAGGAGAAGAGAGAGGGGAGAGGGGAAAAGAGAGAAAAGGGGAGAGAGGAGGAGAGGAGAGAAAAGGAGGGAGAGAGAGGGGGAGAGAGAGAGAGAGTAAAAAACACAGCCCCAAATGGGATCTAAAATTTGTCCATATTTAAAATCTAGTATCCTTCTGAAGACGTAGAATATCCCAACTATCACACACACTCTCTTTACCTGGCCAGAGTTCCTTGGATGCCGTGGGAACCTGAAGCGTGGGGGAGAATGCCGAGTTGGACAGAGAGCTTCATGAGTCCATACCGCTGAGTTACACACTGAGCTAACAATCTCTCTCTCTCTTTCTGCTTCTCTAACTCTATCCCTCTCCCTCTGCCAGTCTCACTCTCTCTTTGTGTCTACCTCCTCCCTCCCACTCCGCCTTTATTCCTTGCTCACTCTGACACTTCCTGTGTTTTTGACTGTGTCTTCTGCACTCACCACCCCTCCCTCCTTCTCCCTCTTTCTCTCTCCTGTCGCCTCATCCCTTCTTGCTTATTCCCCCGTCTCTCTTTCTCTCTGGACTGAATGAGGGAACCGTGAAAGATAGAGAGAGTGTTCTCCCCTGGTGCTTGTAACCTGATCTCCCCCAAGCCCAGTTAACCAGTTCACTGCTACAGCTCAACCAGTAACATCACAGCATAATGACAGACTCTCCCAAATAAGACCTTCCCAAATCCTATGGAACCAAAATAAGGCATCCTCAAATGACCCAACAACAGTATGAAGCTACATTATGGTCATAGTATGATCACAGCCACACAGACAGACTCAACCACACACATACATACAAAACATTATTCCTTATTATCAACTAAGATATTCCCAAATCCAACATTCCCAACTGTGACGTTCCCAACTTCCCATCCATGTAATATGTGTCAGTGTGTGTGATCCCGGAGTTCCCAGACAGATCCACCCTGACTAACTGACAGCCCATTACTAATTAGAGATCAGCCCAGCAACATGGCCGAACCCACAGCCTCCTGCTGGCAGCGCAACCTACCTATTAACTACCACCCAGCCATTTAGAGCCAATCAGAGAGGACGATGACACTAACCACAGCCAACCCTAATTGAGCATAGTGAAGAGTAGCAGTTCCAAGCATGAAACTCTAATACTGAAGCGTCAGAAAGTTATGGGTTCAGTTGATGTGCGTGATTAGACTTCAATTAATTCAGTTGACTTTTGTGTTGATTTTTGAGCAGGGAAATCTCTCTTAGTAAGACAGAGACCTTCACAGCTGTGTGGTAGTTTATAGAAATAGAGTTAAATGGATTCATATGAGCATTGGCCTTTAGGATTAGGTTAGGTGTACAGACAGACTTATCTGGTGAAAAAAACACACTGTCTGATGGAGAGACAGTAGGGGAGAGAGAGATGGAGAGACAGTAGGGGAGAGAGAGATATGGAGAGACAGTAGGGGAGAGAGAGATATGGAGAGACAGTAGGGGAGAGAGAGATGGAGAGACAGTAGGGGAGAGAGAGATGAAGAGACAGTAGGGGAGAGAGAGATGGAGAGACAGTAGGGGAGAGAGATGGAGAGACAGTAGGGGAGAGAGATGGAGAGACAGTAGCGGGGAGAGAGATGGAGAGACAAAGTAGGCTTGGGCGGTAAACCATATACCGGGGTATTTAAAAAAAGCCACAAGATGATTTTTCAATACCATCAAGTTATTTATTTTCAATAAATGTGAATATTTGTAGCTACTATTTAAGTTAATACCTGCAATC